GGTGCTGGTGCTGGTGCTGGTGCTGGTGCTGGTGTTGGTGTTGGTGTTGGTGTTGGTGTTGGTGTTGGTGTTGGTGTTGGTGTTGGTGTTGGTGTTGGTGTTGGTGTTGGTGTTGGTGTTGGTGTTGGTGTTGGTGTTGGTGTTGGTGTTGGTGTTGGTGTTGTTGTTGTTGTTGTTGTTGTTGTTGTTGTTGTTTCTTTTTTTCGAGGGGCCCCTTTGGGTTGGTTGTCAAGGCAACCGGAAACCGCTCCGCCCAAAAAATGCACGAGAGTCTCGTCCTCGAAGTGGATGGACGAAATCCTGCACTAAGAACCATGGTTGAAGCCATGGTTTGTTGGCATTTGCAGATGGGAGTCGAAGCATTTCATGAGTTTTCGTCCATGAGACAACTTGCACCCAGGTGAACACCAAGTTTCTGGCGGCCGCTGTGGGGAACTGGCTGGAGTGGTATGACTTCGGAGTGTATGCTGCGGTGCCCGAGATCTTGGGGGACCACTTCTTCCCATCCAGCGATGCCTCCGTGCAAATCATGCAGTCCTTCCTGGCCTTTGCTGCAACTTGTCGGGGAACGCCCACTATGGAAAAACAGACGCATGTCTTGCAGTTTTGGACCCTTTTTTGGGTTGGCTCATGGAATAGGCGGAAACCATTTAGGAGGTGTTTGACACCTTAGTGACCCCATTTCAGGGCCTGTGCTGTTTGCCACATCTCCGAGGCTGGCTACGTCACGCGGCCCCTGGGCGGAGTCATCATCGGCATCATTGGGGACCGCATCGGACGCAAGTGCGCGCTCTGGACCTCCATGCTGCGGCCTGCCAAGACTTTCCGGCTGAAGACATGGCTGTGGTTGTCAAAGCCGTTTTGGGATCCCATTTTGGGGTAGGTAAATTCACCACCCATTTTAGTCTATATTTTAGTGGAGATTGGGATGTTCACTGGGGGTACGATTTGGATTTTGGCCTATGGCCACATTTCGTCAGAATCTTTCGACGGATCCGTCAGTTTTCGACGGATCCGCAAGGGCTTCACCTTTCAGATGGGGCCCCGTTCAGACGGGCAAGGCTGTCTTAGCCCGCTCGCTCGTTGCCGTTTTGGGCCGCTCCAGGCTCATGATGTGCCCAACCTTTCTGATCGGCTGCTTGCCCACGTACGCGCCTGAGCCGCACTACGGCTCTCAGTGGCGAGCCCAGAAACTGATTTCCTTGCGATTTGTACAGATTAGCACGCACATCGGAAGCATTTAAGCTGTCATGGCTAGTTTTGTCCTAAGCAAGTGGAACCTGAAAAGAATACGAGCGGAAGCTGAAGGAACATGAGCAGAAATCACTGGAATGAGTAAAGATCCGCAATCAGCAACTGTCCGGTTGTTTGCGCTTGTGGACAAAACTGGCTACAACAGGTAGATCAAATCAATCAGCTTGTGTTTTCCACTTCCAAAGCAAACTAAACCAATGCTTAGACCCAAATTCGTGACCAAAAGGGAGGGTCCAGCTATGCCTCTTCGGTCCAAGTCAATGGCCAAGTCGAGCTCCCAAGAATGGAATCTCGGTCTCAACTCGACCTCACGGGCTTTCGATCCGGCAGAGCCCCCCGTGTAGGCGCAGGTGGGGTACCTCTCCACCGTGGGCCTGGTGCTGCTGCGGCTGCTGCAAGGCGTGGCCATCGGCGGGGAGTACGTCAGCGCCTTGGTCTTCAGCATGGAGCACGCGCCCTCGGAGCAGAAGACCGCCTCCGGCGCGCTGATGCGCCGCGGCTCCCAGGGTTTGTTGTTTTGCTTTGGAGCGAGGGGCTCGAGGGCCAAGACTCCTCCGGGGAATGAAGCGGTTTTTTTAGCGGGCTCGAGCGAGGGACTTTCCGGGAAATGCTGAGCTGGGGAATGCCGTGCGACGTGGAGTGAACAGCGCGAGAATGCCGCAAGCAACTACTTTCCCCAACCCCTGCGGTGCTGGGGACGCCCGAAAACCGTAGGATGAATGGCTTACAATTCCAATTGTCACTCCCTCAGAACCAGCAAGTGAAGTCCAGAGCTGGAGTGAGAAAAACATGGGGACCAACAATCACAGATAGTGACCACATCAAGAATTGGGCTCGAGACTTGTCTGGCACCTGTTCAGCCTTGAGACGAAGGAAGGCACCGAACCACTACTGGCCTCCACATGGTATTTCGACTATCCCTTAAACATGACACACATCCCTCAAACAAGGGCGGCCTTCTTTTCAGACGGCAACCCAATTTCGGAGGAGAAAGAAACAGACAACCAGCACTTCGGATGGATGCATCTTCGACGGCCAAAAAAAACCATCCACTTCGGAGGGATGAAAAATCCAATGGGGGTTCTACCCACCCACCCGCTCCGATCCATCCATCGGCCGCACGGACCGCGCGATGAATCGTCGATCCGAGGTCCGTGTCGGTGGCTCTGGGCTCCTTCACCGGCTTCGGCGTGGTGTCCCTGCTGCGGCACCTACTCTCGGAGGAGGCCATGCGCGCCATCGGCTGGCGGATCAGCCGCTCAGATTTTGGGCGTCGGGGGGGAGGGGGGTTGGGGTGGGGTGGGGTGGGGTGGGGTGGGGTGGGGTGGGGTGGGGTGGGGTGGGGTGGGGTGGGGTGGGGTGGGGTGGGGTGGGGTGGGGTGGGGTGGGGTGGGGTGGGGTGGGGTGGGGTGGGGGCGCGGGGGGGAAGGACTTGTGGAAGGTTTTCGGGGAAATTGATATGGCGGGTGTGTGAAGGGATTTGGGGCCACATGAAAACCCCAAAAGGGGATGCACATGAAAAAAACAAGTGGAACAAGATGTCGAGGAAGATTCTGCCCATGCTTCTTTTTTGGCGGTGTGAAACATCTTGTTTGTCCATACCTGTCCCAAATGACATGAAGGTTCCAGGCCGAAACCTCCCCAACAAAGGGAGAGCCTTGGTGGCTGACATGCCGATGGCTCGGCTTTTTAGGGCACCCCCCCCCCCACGGCTTCGGTGTTCCGTTTGGGTTTTGCTTGAAAACCGCACCCTTGATCTTCCAGGACCCTGGAAAAGCAGTTGCCTTCGGCCGAGTGTTTCCATTTGGAGAACAAAATCAAGAAGGGCCCGGGTTTTGAACGGGTCCTTGGAAGACCAAGGCACAGAAGGTGCCCTCAACAAGGCACACGCCCTGGATAGATCGCGAACGTCTCGCTGGAATTTTTGAGGCTCAAGGGTTCGAGAATTCAAATGGACCGCTGGCACAGAAGCGCACCAAGTGGCCAAGACCTGTGGGTTTTTATATGTGTTATTTCGCCCCAGCGCGCAGAATCCAAGTGTGAGCCAAGCAGAACGGTTCGGCGGCGAGAGCTCGGCACCATGGTACGTCTGTGCGACCTGGGCAAATACCTCTTGGCGAAGGTGCTGGATCATTCCTTGGATGCTTCTGTGCTGGAGCTTTCTGCGGCTTCTCGCGGTGCCAAGAGTGCAGTGGATACATGCAGGCCGCTGGGCACGGAAGGTCTGTGGCAACATCCACCGGGTGCTTGGGAAGTGTGTGGACTCTGGAGATTTCTGGGCTTGGGAGATGTGAAGAGGATTCCATCCGTGACGCTGAGCAGCAAAGTAGAGTTCCAGAATCTGAGAGAGGTGCTGGCTTTCTTCAAAGCGGCAAGCCAGCTGGCAGCTGACACAATGGATGGGCAGGTGACCTACGGCACTTTTTCCTTCAAACCTGCAGAAGTGGCTCGCCTCTCCTTCGGAGTTGGCACTTTCGAACACCAGTGCGACTCAGGGGAGACCGAAGTACTATTCGACGACCGGTTGAAATGCTTGATTGAGGCTCACCGACATGACGGAGATGAAGTGCCTTGGATTAATATCCACGTGCAACGGTCGACGATCGAACCCGACCCGAACCCCTTGATTTGCTGCAGCAGCCTCCTGTTGCCGGAGCTCAGGATGTCTGCGAGTATGGGGAACGTTTATGATACTCATGACCTTGACACAGAATCTCCTTTGACCGAGCTGGTGCGCAGAAACCTGCCACTGCCCATGTTTTTAGGGCTCACTACTGCTGGGGGCAGCAAAAGGTGTCCTGCACACGTGGCGGCTGAAACCTTGGGACTCAAGTTGTGGCTATAGGGTATAGGTGGTCAATCCGGGCAGATGTTGGTCATGCTTACAGAAGGTTTACTACCAAAGAATCTCATTATGGGGTGACCCGACGCGCGATTGGTCAAGTCATGTGCGTGTGTGAAGACTATGTCATCTGATATTCTGTGCTCAAGCGCACAGACATGTGAAACTGGCACCACGCAAAACGATGAATGCTTCAATATGTTCAACCTGTCCGCGACATTTTCTCCTTGGCTGATCGCCCAAATCCGCGATTGGCTGGCGATTGGGCTGCGATTGGCTGGCGATTGGGCCGCGATGGGAACTGTTCCAAGTGTAGCCACTTTCCCATATTCTGAAATGTCTCTCTCAAACTTGCCCATAGTTCTGACAATGTTTCAGAGGGATAGAGAGATGCTAGTTCGAAGTACCAATATATGCAGATATATGCAGATATATATATATATATAGATTAATGCTTATATATTTCTATGTCATTTATTTGTGTTATGCAGCTCATGCACTGTGTAGATCAAGGCGATTGGACCCACACGATGCAGCGATTGAAGACTTCCCGCGCATGGAATTGGACAACTTTTCCACCAATCAGCCCACAAAGTTGGTCCTTTTGTACTTGGCCATCCATGGCTGATCATGTTCACGGCTCTCAAGACACCAAAGAAAAGAGCTGAGCGCGGAACACTGACTGCAACTCCGCGAGTTTTTACCGACGCATTTTGAGGGTCGCCACAAACAATTCGTCGTTCAAGCTTGAAGTGCGTGCAGTTTGCCGGGTCACACCAAACAAGTCGTCGCGCATCTTGAACTGCTTGCAGTCCGGGTCAACAACAGACACCCAAAAAGGACCACCCAGAACAGACACCCAAGGAGCCAAGAAAGGGTACCCCAGAACAGACAGAGGCTCCCCAAATCAGCTCTGCCATGGGATCTGCCGTTCGCCGTCCGGAAAATGGCTCGTGTTGGAGGCTTCTGGCTGGGGCTGCTGGTGGGCCTGGTGGGCCTCTTCCTGCGCAGCCGCGTCACGGAGCCCCAGGCGCATCACGGAGCCGAATTGCCGAGGGCGGAGTGGAGTGAAGTGCACCCTCCGGTGGTCCATGTGCACCCAAAATCACTCACGGAAGGCCACTGGTACAAATGTATCACCCTTAAAAAGTAATTAATTATGACAGGGAAGGATGAGAGCACAGATTGGGGGCTGCGTTCCGTGAAGGATCCTTTTTTCAACTGGGACTTATAAGCGTGAATCGACCAGAGGAGGTCTTTTGCGTTGAAGGCTTGGAGTTGTGCAGGTCCGTCTTTGGGTGGAACATCCATGGAGTCCTGAATCCGGGTGTTTTGGGTGGAACGGGAATTCGGGCTTCATTGCTTTGGGTTTTGAGGTGTTGGCCAACGAGAATCCAAGTCCGTGGAAGGGCTCCGTCCGACTGAGGAATACGTGCAAGCCCGCGAGGTGGGCGCCCTCGAGCGACATCCCTTGCTGGAAATCTTACAGAAGCATCTTGTGGAGGTTCTGCTGATGGTCGGGGTGCAAGCCATCACCCCTGCTGCCTGGTACCAGAACTTCATTTGGATGCTGCAGCCTCTTTGGCCAAAACCCGAGCCCCAAAATAAGGACTCGTTTTTTTTTGTGTGTCTTCTTTCTCCCAGTGGTGGGTCGTTTGGAGCCTCCCCGTCAACCGCCAAGCTGCTTCCAGCCGAGGCTCTTCGAGGGCATATTGTCCCACCAGGCGCCCATTGCCGGCGCCTCGGAGCTCAACAGCGTCATGCAGCTGGCGCCCTCGACGCTGGTGGTGGCGATCGCCCTCTGCAGAAGCGACTTTGGCTTCCGGCGATCCGCGCCCAGCCCGCAAAAAGCCGTGGCAAGGCGGTCGCAAGGCGGTGGCAGCTGTTCGCTGGAATTGCTGGTCTGATTTGTGTTCGCTTACTGCTGCGCAAAGAGGTGTCGTTTGTTGAGGATACCTTTTGAGGGTGCTTCCAGGGAAGCCAACAGGGCAAACCAAGCAGCGACCCGAGCGGGCAACCAGAAACCAACATGACAAGAAAGAAGAAACATGATTGCAAAGAGAAAACCGGGAAGAAAACGACCCCCACCAAAACTCCTTTTAGTTGGCCCTTCGCCGGTTTTCTTGGGATTTGAGGTGCGGCTGGGCATGTTGGGCCTGGCGCTCTGCAGCGGCCCTGGCTACTGGCTGGTGTCGCGCCGGAAGCTGTGGGCCGCGTTCCTGGCGCAGCTGCTCTTCGCCCTCTGCGCGGGGCTCGTGGCGTGGGGCAATCCCTTCCTCATGCGCCCTGGCGGAGCTCTGACCCTGGAAGCCCTTGGGATCGGTTTCTGTCCCTTGGCCTTGCCGTTTCTTCTAATTGATCGGTGGCGGTTTCCTTAAGGGAATCCCCGTTTAACGGTTCATTGCCAGCACCCAGCCCTGACGACACCGTGTCCTGGAAACCAACCCGCGCGCTGCCTTATGTACCGCTCACCCATGGGAGTTGATTGTGGAAATGGCAAACCAGGGAAAGTGGATTTGTTGGATGTTCGCGTGAAAGCTCAGCCAGGCTTTTTCAGGAACTCCAGGCTCTGACGACTTCCGAACATGGAGTTCTTTGGTGGAAGGCTTCCTTTGTCGGCCTTGCCGTTTCTGCAGCTTCCTCTGATTGGTGGCTTGGATTGCTCCCCAAAACGGTTCATTCCCAACACCCAGTCTCGGTCATTCCCTACCTATCGCACCAGGTGGCTCCAGATGGACTCCCGATGGAGGGCATCTTGTGGAAAGGGCTTCTTTTGGGCTCCTCCCTGGCGAATGTTCCAGTCACGTGTAGGAGCGTTTTTTCTTCCTGGTGGCACGGCGAGAAGGACTCGCCCTTTTCGGGCAAGTACCACAGCTCCGAACCTTGGGCAGTTTTTTTTTTTTTTTCTTCGGCCCTTACCATCCTTTGCTTTTTGAGGGCATCCAATGCACGAGGTCTTTACTCATTTGACCCAACACTGGAGTCGCGCTTCTCTGAGCTTTCTGTTGGCATCTGAGTCTTCGGGCTTCGGGATTCCTAACCCCGGCTCCCCGGTTTGCCCGTTTGCCCCCACCAAACCCCCAAAGCCCAAACCGGGGAGGCTTCATGTTCACCCATTCGAAGAAGAGACAAGAGCGGGGGAAAAAAAAACAGAGCGCGGACCAAAGAAACGGGCGAAAGAAAAACACGTGAGGCACAGCAGCTTCCCGGTGCACGTGCGAGTGCTGGCCATGGGGCTGAGCTACAACCTGGCGGCCGCGATCTTCGGCGGGCCCACGCCCTACGTCTGCTCCCAGCTGCTGGTGCACGGCGGCGGCCCGGACCGGTGGTTTGGGCGGACAGCCTTTCCTCAGTGGGACGGGTAGACGTGGGTCCCATGGGTTGCGTAACCTATGGCGATCCCATTTTGGGCATGGATGAGCATCCATTTGCCAAGTTTGATGTTCACCAGGCGTACAGGGTTTTGACCCACAGCGAGGTGTGTGTGTGTGTGTGTGTTTTCCCTCGGAAGTTGCTCTTTTACCTGGGTTTGAACAGAAGGCAAACAGAAAACCAACAATTTGCGGGGTCGCCCGTCTTGTATTGATTCATGGTGGCAACCAGCGGGCGCCCTTAGAGCCCAGCAAAAGATGTCGTCCGGACGTACCACGCTGCTCGAATTTGATAAATTCCATATGGAAGAATATGTACTGGTTGACATGGGACGAAGTGCACAGCCGTCCACGTGGTTCGCACTAATGAGCTATGTTGGCCTTGTGGTTCTCCCAAGAATGAAGAGCAAAGATGAAGAGAAAAGAAGTCCCCCCTCTTTCATTTTCACCCATGCCCGCTCAGGAGATTTGGCGCCAGCTGTGTGGCTGCTCGTCATGTCGCGCTTTGGAAGCATGGCTCCCTTTGGTCAGTCGGTGTCAAAGTGGTACGGTGGTAGGGGGGCATGTTTTTCTAAACATAATATTTGTTAACTATCTTTATACGTGCATACTTGCCATTGCCCAATGCGGCATTTGGCTCAATCTTTAAGACCCGGCGATCGGATCCTGCAATTTCGTTGCCTGGGCTGCAGCGGCACCTCTTTTGCAAAGCCTCGCTGTGGCCGAGCGCTTGTGGTGTTGCCCTTCGCAGAGGTCGGGATTTTCTGATTGGGGTTGGTGCGCTTGTTTGCTTTGCGCTTGCATTTTTGGTTGCTTGCTCGGTGCGCTGGCTTGCCTGCGCTTCGCTTGCTCCGCGGCATCACCATGATCCACAAGGTGACGAACTTCGGCCATAGTTTGGGGAACCCTTGCCTGAGGTGCCCAGGCCAGGCTGCAAGCCGCAGTCACTGTGGCCCTGCCTGTTCGATAGCCCTGCGCACGCAGCACAGCGAGAAATCCCCTTCTATTGGTGCAAAGAAAAGAACCGAACATGCCCTCCAGCTTGCTCACAGCACCTGAATGTTGGTTTGGGTGCTGTTTAACTTCTCCCGAAACATTGCTTCAAACCCTTTCGCAGGCCTTTCGCAGGTTATCAGCCGTAGGACGAAGGACGTCCCTTTGTTGTGAGCGATGAGTGGGTTTTGGGGCAAGCGGGGATCTCGGATGTTGTTGGTGGCGTCCAGGATTCCGGCCGGCCCGCTTTCACAACCCTAAGCGAATCTACTGCCTGGAAACTATATTTTCAGGGGCTTAAACGGCATGCCTGAAACGGCATGGCTGAAGCATCCAGGCCCGGAAATCCCGACCCCAGACGCTTGTCCAGTGACTTACCCGACAAACCGTGTCCAGAGGGGAAATTGGGCGTGGACAGCCTGCAGACACCCCCCCTCCCTAAGATCAGCTTGTATAGAGCAGGCAAAGCTCCTACCAGCCCAAGGTCCTTCGAAAGACCTGTCCAAAAGTTTAAAAGGCCGCGAAACCAAGCTACCTGTTTCATATCATGCACACCTACAAAAAGCGAATTTTGCCTTTCCTTAAACTGGGCGATGTTCTTGGGCCTAAGCGTGTCTCGCTTAGTCTCGGCATTGTTTCCTGCAGCAAGTTGGCAAGTTGGCAGAAGGGCTTGCTATCCCTCGGTGCCCAAAACAGATGAACTCGCACCCAGCACACAACCACCAACCCCGACCAACCTCTGCCAAGGGCAACACTACAAGCGCACGGCCACAGCAAATGTTGCAAAGAGAAGAGCGCCGCGTGCCGTGCAGCCCAGGCGACGAAACTGCAGGGTCCGATCGCCGGGTCGTAAAGCTTGAGCCAAATGCCGCGTAAAAGTACATGCCCCCAAGGACACCGCCCTAGGCGTTTTAGACATATTCAACTCTGGTCGATGTGGAAATAAACAGCGCGACAAAGCGGGCATAGGAAACCGGCAAGTTTCATGGGTAACTTTTCCTATTTAATTGTGAAAGTCATCTTTTTAGTGGTCTCCCTAGGGCCACTTTCCCCACATGTTTCAGGAGGGTGAGCGATATGAGGGGGCCTCTGTTCTTGGCTTGCAGGAAACCACCCTTGTTAGGGGTTCCCTGACAAACCCATGCTCTAGCTGCGCCCTCCGAAGTGGTTGGCGTGGTCTCGGTTTCTCTTTAACCTCGACCAAAACAAGGTCCCCCCCCCAAAACAAAGCTTCACTGTTCCAAGCCACCGGTCTCAGTGCGCTGAGGTGCTTGTCCCTTACCTCCATGTGGGCGTTACAGCGCCGACAGGAGCGTAAAGAGCAGAGCTACTCGCAAGGCGTGCTGCCCTTGCAGATCGGAGTCTGACGAAAAAGGATGCGCACAGTTCGGCGTGTTGGGACTTGCGCGTCAGACAACCAACCAACCAAGCAACCAACCATGGTATCCTCGAGGCTTCCAGCCGCTTCACCCTTCCAGAAGTTCCGCCCCATTTTTGAAAAGAACGAGCTTTGTGAAGGCTGACCACCTGAGCCTTCAAAAGGTTGGTCCATGTTTGGGAAGCTTCCGAGATTCGAATGCCGGAGTTTCTGAGGCAGGGAAGCTTCACATGGCCCAGCAGGCCGCATCCTATCTCGAGGCCCGGATCGGATCACGGGCCGGAAGGGATATTCCACCGGTGTCAAAATGACTGGTCTATGGTGCTGGGAAACTCAAGGGCTGAGCTCCAAATGCCCCACCAAAAACAGCCGCGAGCGCGCGCGAATTGTCCCATGTCACTGTGGCTCAACAGAGGTTGGATCTCGGAAAGCCAGTTCAGAAGCGAATAGGGCCACGAGCCGTTGGACGCGGATTTGACTGGGCCGAGGTTCGTGGCAGACACCTACTTGCCAGCTGGTCAGCTTGTGCGTTTGGTGTTTTCCAAGGTGACTGGCAGATTGCTGGAATCCTGCGTTGCGAGTTCAAGCTAGCCCTTTTTTGCTCGCAGCTTCGGCTCATGACAGCTTTCGTGCCCTTGGCAAGCTGCAGAGTCGCACACTGCGCCTCGGTCCGCAACAGTGCCAGGCCTTTCATGGGAGCTATTTTTCTAAATCCCGCGCTTTGCCGCCTTTTCCATGTTCCCCAAAGTCTGGTTCTCAGTTTTCACAACAACCTTCTGGACTTTCCGGCTTTCCTTTGCAAAGTACAGGCTCTGTTTTCAGGTTCAAAGTACCTCCACCTCTCCTTTTCAGCCGAGGCGCCCGGGCGCTGCCGCCCCGCCCGGCTCCGAGCAGCGGCCGCTTTCGCCGCGGCGCCCTTGCCGCGGGCGCCGGCGCCGCTGGCGGCCTCCGGGCGGTGGCCTCCATGGCGCTGGGAGCGCACCAGCTGAGCTTCACCAAGTCCGCGGACGCCGCTCGGTCCACGGAAGGGGGGAGGAGGGGGGGCGGGGGTGAGGGTGTTTGTGTGTTTCGTGGGGAATCGTGACTTTTGGGGGGGGGTTCCCCCCCCACCCTAACAATCCGGGTCGAGGGCGAAAGTTTGTCCACAGTCCGTCCAACCCTCAAGCCCCGAATTTGGCTGGCCGCCATGTCTTAGCTCACTCCCTGAGTTCCTGGACTTTTTTTGTTTTCCCAACGAAAAAGTTGGACCTGTTTGGTTTTTGGCCAATCCACTCGCTCGGAAGTGAGTCACTCAGGAGATCCGCCGCGGCCTCAAGGAGCTCACTGAGAGCTATGAGCTGCGGATCCAGAAGATCCTGGAGGCCGCAACAGCTGGGGACAGCTCCTTCGCAGCCCGGCGCGCAACGAAAACCTCCACCTGACGGATCAGAACCTCTCCGGAACTCTTGTTTTGTTCTCGGTTGCGTGAAAAGGAGCCCCCTTGATGTTGGAAGTATTGCCGAGACCTTCGAGCGACAGAGTGGCATGTGTTGTTTCCTGGGGATGCTTTAAGATGGGCTTGTAGGATTAGACAATTCGAACGGGGAATGCTCTCAAAGTTGGTCGGAGGACACAAACCCTCATGTATTTCCGATGTCCACCAAAGAATGCATTTCCAGCTCAATTTCATACCCGCTTGTTCAACCCCCCCTTCAAACTCAGTAAGGAAGGGTGATAGAGTGGAAGCCACGAAACCACGCAACCCGAAACCTAGTGCTAGAATTAGGTTTGGACAGGAAACCTGTCATAACGGAATGACCATGTGCCCTCGTGGTTGTCACTTGCCGGAACATCCACTCACTGAGCATGGGCGAGAGAGACGGCCTGTCCACTTCCATCTTTCAGCCAACCTTGAGTGAGGGTACCTAGCAAAAAAACACACACTCACTATTATGTGTCAAAACAGGGATTGTCCAGTCGGTATTTCCCATTCAACCGACCTTGAAGAGGGCACCCTCCAAAACCAAAAAAAACAGAAACCAGCAAAGCAAACAAAAAAAAGCAAGCAAGCAAGCAAGCAAGCAAGCAAGCGACCAAACACACAAACACACAACCACACAACCGCGCACAAACGCAAACGCGCACAAAAAACAAGAAGTGCCAAGCTTCAAACCTGGATTGAGGTTAACCCTCCCTCTCTCTCCCTCTCTCTCTCTCTCTCTCTCTGCCCATGTTTTTGGTGGATGGACCTCGGACCGGCCGCTCCGAGGGCGCCAGCTTCGGGCGCCTGGCGGAGGCGGACGGCCGCGCGGCGCTGCTCAGCGCGGAGCTGACGCTGCCGGCGCTGGTCAGCGGGGACGCCGCGGAGCGCCAGGCCTCGCAGCTCAGCGTCCGCCAGAGGGTTCAAACATCGACCAAAAACAAAAGCCAACGAAAAAGCGGCGACAAACAAAATCAAAAAGCAAAACAAAAACGCCAGAGGGGAGGAAATGAAAACAGCGATTGAAAACGAACACTCACGACGAGTTCCGCCAGCGCCGGTCGCGGCGAGTCCCGCTTTTCGGTTTTTTGCTCTGTGAGGGAGGGTCCCAAACCGTGTGGAGAGCCGGCGTTGTTTGCTTTTTCATTGGTCTGAGCTATTTAATAGGGTGCTTCAAACACATGGGGGTGAAGTAGCAACCAACCAGGGGTTCCAGTCCACTACGGGGAATCTCGGATGAATCTATTTTGGGTGGATTGATAGGGTGTCCCCTTTCAGAGGGGGGTTGCAACTGTTGGAGGGGAGCACAACCGGAACCAGGGAACGCCATTTGTTCCGCAGGTTTCAGTGGATCAATGAGGGCCATTGACTTCAATGATCAAACCCCGGATCTAAGTATGGTTGATTGATAGGGTGTTCCAGGATAAGTGGGGGAGGGAAGGTGAGACCACTTTTGGAGGGAAGCCCCTACAAATTTGAGTGTGCAATGGTTTGGGGGACCTCCAAATGGTGCACACCCAAATGAACATGGAACCCAAGAAGGGGGTCAATTTCCCAAAAAGGAGGCTCCTCTAGTGATGGGTTTTGAGGTTTTATGTTGGTCAGGGGAGGACTACGATTCTCCAGTCCAAGAACTAGAGGTCTCAGAATTTTATTCTTTTTGGGTGGGGGGCCTTCAACAAAAGACATGTACTCACATGAGGTCCAGTCAATCCCCCCATGCCTTGAATTTGGCAGGTGTGAAGCTGCCACTTTTGGAGGTAAGGGAACTGGACGTCAGCTGAGGTCCATCTCACGTTGGACAGACTTTGCTTACTTGTTTGGCCTGTTGCCTTGGTGGTTCACGGTGCCAAGTTTTGCGCTAAGAACCTTTGCAAGGGAGGGAACTGTCCCATCCAAACCTTTGGATCTCAGCTATGTCCTCACTTGAGCCTCGAGAAGTGGCAAGGTGTCGTCCAGTGACCTTCGTTTCCCTTGGCGAAAACTTTTGGGACCATTTGTCCGGAGTTGGTTGGCTGTTGGGGTGATGTTTCAGGGGGAGATACAAGGACACTGGTATTGGTTCAGAAGGACCAACCACGCGGGTTTGTCACCGGCTCAAATAGACGCGGGACTCATACCCATGTGGCGAAACGCTAGAGGAGACATGTGGTTAGAAAAAGAAGAAGAAACTTTTGGCAAAGGCTCTCATATGTTGGAACATATGTTACCCAATCAAAAAGGGGAACTCGTCACCAGTTCTTTGTGTAACCCTTTGAAGCCCGGGAGCCACGATCTGGACTCCTTTTGGCAACACCTCGAGGTACCCTCCCCACCTTGCTGACACAGGGTACCCCCAACAGAGAATTCATCTGGGTAGTTCCTGGCACAGCTATGATTGTCGGAGGGTATATAAGTACGACTTGGCAAGCTCTCAGCACGATTTGGACCACTCTCTCTTACATTGGCATGTCTTTTTTTTGTGTGAGCACCCACGGGTGGTTCAGAGATTGAAAGGGCTTTGACCGCTCTACGCGTCGTTTCGCACCAAGGCAGGAGGCCAAGAAAGCGCTGCAGCAGATGTGGTGTCTCGGCCTTCGGCGGTTGGGGTCAGTTTTCTTTTCTCTCGCCAGTTTGGGGTGCGCGGGGGCCGTGCGATGCGATTTTTGTCGGTGGTTTTCCTTGGGTTAGAGGAAAATGAGGTAATTAGACACATCCCCCAAAGAAATGACATCCCTCAATATCAGACACCCAGATTTTGAGTAGCGATCCACTCTCAAAATGAGATTCGCGAACCCGATTTCGTGATTCCCGATCCGAATTTAGGGTTCATTCGGGATCCGGGATCCGAAGCGGGACGAGGTCAAAGACCTATGCGCGGCCTGAGCTCTATGAGGTGCTGGCTGCGCAAACCACGGCTAAGACAGCGGAGGACGGATGCGCCACCGGGGACTGGGGTCGTCCGATGTCACATCGAGGGAGCCAGAGACCGGAAGGCTTCAGGTGCTGGTGATGGCTTGGTGAGGGCTTCGCTTAGCCACTCCGGCGAAGTTTGGAGAAATGGCTCGTGAACTGGTGCAGACACATGTGTTTTTCGAGCATCCTAAACCTTCCTTTGACCCCAAGAGACCAAAAACCAACACACGTCTCCCCACGAAGTACCCAAAGGCCCTCAACTCCATTTGCCACCCTCCTTCCCCCCCCCCTGCCCCACTTCCTCCCTCCTCCCCCCCTTTTGCTCCCCTCCTCACCCCTTCCCCAATCCCCCCCCCCCTCCTCCCCACCCCTTCCCCCCGTTCCCTCCCCACCCCTTCCCGCCGTTCCCCCCGTTCCCAGGAGGTGCGCCTGGCGTCGCTGCTCCTGGCCAAGTTCCGGCAGAGCGGGGCGCAGCTGGGCCCCGCGGCCCGCGCGGCCTTCGCGCGCCTCGAGGCCCAGAGCAGCAGCCTGGCCTCCCAGGCGACGGGACGGGAGCACGGCGCGCGCGCCACGTGCGCGGCGCGGGAGGGGTGGGTCCACCTGGATCCCGGGCACCCCGTTGGGGGGACATGCTTTAAAGGGAAAGCCAACCAAAACGCCACCCTAAGGCTTTTGGGGGACTTGTAGTTTAAGACATTGGTTGAATGGGTTAGTAAAGCCCAAGAAGATATCGCGGAAACTGTGCTAGAATTAGAAGGATGGGCTTTAAGCAGCTCGATCAAGATATGGTTCATTTGGGAGAGACACTCACTTTCCTTGTCCCATTGATGGAAGCGACATGTTTTGACCGACGTGAGGTGCCAGAAGTGGGGTTCACTTCAAAAGGGGTGGACTTTGCCCCCAAAAGCAACGTACGCCCAATGTCTTCGCTGCAATGACTCGGATTTCTTTGTCTCTAGGTCCCCCAGTAGTGCCCTTTTACCCTTTTCGGGGGAGGGGAACCCCTACTAAAATAGACTACAGGCAAAAAAGAGTTGGTACCCTTATTCTACCCTCTTTGACTCGGACCTAGTCGTATTTTGTATTTTTGTTTGCCGGTGTTCCTTCGAAGGGAGGGCCTCCAGGCGGAGCAGAACATCAACGAGGACTGCAGCTTCGTGGATCTGGCGCCGGAGGATTTGGAGGGCTGTTCCGAGAGCTTCGTGCAGAGCCTACCCACGGAGGTTGGGCTTCGGGTTGCGGGGAGGAACCAGCGATCGGGGAAAGGATGATCCCCCAAGGTACATTCCACCTAAGGAACCCTGGAAGGAATCCAAGTTTCCAACGTAAGAATGATTCGATTCCCCAACTTGAATGCCAACAAGCAATGGTGCGAGATGGATTTCGCCACACCACCTCAACTTCATGGACTTGATCGTGAGTGTTTTTTGGGAAGGTGAGTCACTTTTGGGTTTGGTTGCCATTTGCGTGGCAAAGAGAAAGTTGGGAGGAGTGTTTTGTGGCCACAAAACCTGTAGATACTGTCCAAAGGGTGAAAGTTACTGTCAGGGTCAAAGTTCATACCCAGCGCATGGTTTGCGCTCAGAGCAAACAAACCATCCTAAGCGCGTGCCGTTCGGTGTTTCTCTTGCCAGTTTGCCCATGCTGCTTTGCAGGGGACTCCATTAGTTCGTATGAGAGGGGAATACCTTGTTCATCAGAAAGCCCGTTCGTTGCGCGGAGAGGTTGGGAGGGCATTTCGGGCCGTCTTGAGAGCGGCGCATGATGTTGATGCGTTGAGGCTCAGTCTTTGCCTAGTGATTCCTGTTGCCGCTATGGTTGAGGTAACAAAGGCTTCGTTCCTTTCCGAATGTTGTTTCAAGTTGTTTCGCAATTGGTTACCCAGGGTCCACACACTTGCACACTTCTATCCAAGCGTCAACGAATTTGGGCTTGCATCCTTTCGAAGTCCATCCGAAGTGGGAATTTCCAAAGGCGTGTTTCTTGGTGGTTCCCCCAGTCCGCAAAGCTGTGCCATATGACACCCGAACGTGGCCAAAAGATCATATCCGATCCAAAGCCTGGGCTTTTAGCGTTCTTTGAGGGTGGCTTCCTTCCATTCGGCGAAAAGTTTCCGGCAGCCTCCGCCTCCCCAAAAATCCGCCGACTCCGCCTCCCCAACTCCGACTCCGCCGTCTCCGCCGACTCCGCGCCGGCCAGGCGGGGCTGAAGCGCTGCTCCCTGAAGGCGCCGGTGCTGGCGCCCATCATGCAGCGCGCCGTGCGCTCGGAGACGCGACGGCGCATGATGGAGGCACCTGACTCAGACTGGGGCTGACTCCGACGCCGCAGCGGGTTCTTCCCGGGCCCGTTTGCCGGTTTGAACCGTTCATGAGTCGCTCAGTTAACAAAAAAAGCCGCAAGGAGTTGATGTTGAAAGGCTTTGAAGATATGCATTCAAAGCTGCTGCTCCATTTGAGGAAGGGGCCCCCTTAGTTTACCCAAGAGTTCATGTGGAAAAGGTATGGTCAGGTTCGCATTGTAAGCTTGACAAGCAATTGGACTTCACTTCACATCAGCCGCAAGGCTTCTGTGTGCAACCAGTGGCACAGCTTCGCCCGGTTTGAACGAGTGAAGTATCAGCTTAGTCGTGAGCACCACATCTTCTAGACGTGGGCCTGCTTTGGTCACCGAAGTTCCCTCATGCCTAGGAGCCACAAGCCTGCCAGGCCAGCCAGCAGCGGTGCATGGACACCAACGGCCCCATCCTGGAGGAGCGGAAATCGAGCCAAGCGAAGCCTTGGAAGGCTCAGTCGCGCCACGGTCGGAAGTCCGGAGATGCGCGAATTCTTCGAAAAAAGAAAAGACCGAGACAACGAAAACTGGAGCGCTAGTCCCCCTCCCCTCCCTCCCCCTCCGTGTGTTTTGGTCATCTCTCTTGGCTTCGGAAGCCAGGAGCTGGTGACGGCGCGGCACAACGCGGCGGTGCAGCTGGGGTTCAAGAGCCACGCGGAGCGGGTGCTCTCGGCCAAGATGGCGCCTCAGTCTAAAGACAGGAGAGAAGCGAGATCGATCGAGGAACCAAGCGCCAGAAGCATTTTACAAATGGCAGTGCCAGAAAGGATATGGAGTAGATGTGTTGGCTGGGTCAGACTGTTTGGGCTGTGTTTCAGGCAACCTGGGTTGGTGGTTTAGATACGTGGTTGGGGGATTTGGGTGATTTGGATTTGTCCCATGCCCTGGTTCTTGTGGGTATCTGGGACACCGACCCTTACCTCCACCGACTCGAGGGAAGCGCTTGGTTAGGCTGCAACCCCCGCAGCCGTGGAGAGCTTCTGCCGGGAGATGCTGCAGCGCATGCGCGCGGCCCGGGACCAGGATCTCCGGCGCCTCGCGCAGAGGCCCGCGTTTCTGGCGCGCGGAAAAGGGGCGGGGTCGGAGGTTGGAAGCGGTTTGGGTGCAGCTCCCTGAGAACCTGGACTTGATCCTCGCTTTTTTTCGGGTTTGGCGGCCGCTTTTTGGTGGCAAAAGCAAGAAAGACTGGACTTTTTGGAAGGGCCGCCAACTCGGGAAGTGAGGGTAGGGAGGCGCGGCTGCCACGCAACCCGCCACGAAAAATGAGTCCAAATCATCCGGATCCACTCCGCAGGAAGCAGAAGGACTCAGAGCCGGGCCAGAAGCGGAAGGCGGAGGCGCGGGCGAGTGGCACTTGGGCCCAGTTGTCCAGTGGCACCCTTGGTCCCACTTTTTTGGGTGGCTGCCCTAAAAAGGAACCGATTTTCAGGGTTAAGCAACAAAAAACACCGTACCACCCCCCCAAAAAAATGGTCTTCCCCAAAAAGGGCTTCCTTTTTGTTCTCCTGGTTCCCTGCGACGCGACTGGGCGACCGGGCCAGGGGGAGCTGCACGCCTGGGACGTGTCGTACTACAGCGACCTGCTGAAGAGGGAGGAGCTCTCCCTGGACGACGAGAAGTTGAAGGACCCGAGCTGGCACTTCATTGCTTGGGGAGGGGGGAGGAAATGGCGGCAAGGCTGGGTAGCCGGGCAAACGCCAAGGCAACTTCGTGATTGCAGGGATCTGAGGTCAAGGAGAACCAGCATGTGTTTTTTTCTCGGCGCTTCTGGCCCCGGTGCCCAAAGTCTTTTCTGGCGCCTTAGGAGTTCTTCCCCCTGGAGGGCACCATCCAGCGGATGCTGCAGGTCTACAGCGAGCTGCTGGGCCTCGGCTTCGAGCGAAGCGAGCTGCCCACGTGGCACCAGGAGGTCCTGGCCTTTGAGGCCGACGTGGGTTCAGCCCAGGTGAAACCCATGCAAGGCGCCCCCGAAATCGAAACTCGTGTGTATATATATATATATATATATGTGTATATATATATATATATATGTACATATAATAATATAGATATAGAGAGAGAGAGAGAGATAGATGTGTGTGTGTGTGCGCGCCCAAGAAATGGATTTCGGCGTTCCTTTCTGCCGGCCCCAAAAAACCAACAGAAAAGGAGCCCTCAAAAACACTCGTTGGATCTCCACACAGGTCCATCTCACCAATGGAGGCCCCGCAATTTGGAGAGACCAAACTCGCCGAAGTCACCTTTCGGGGGACATGACAAGCGAAACTCCCAACTCGCAAAAGATGCACCCTCGAAATGTGTGGCTTTCGGTTGATTGGATTTTGGTGCTTCAATAGGTGCTCCACCCAGTTCGGCAAGGCTCCCAATGTTCTTCCTGGCTTGGACCAAGAATTGTGAGGGCCTTGTTGCAAGGAGGGGGTCTCGAAACTCCGCCATAGGTCCAAGAGCCCTCAAATGGAAAGCACCTCGTTTTTGAACGCGTGTTTTTTTGAAGTCGGTGGGTCGCAGGTGAAGGACGGCTCCAAGGTGGTAGGGCACCTCTACCTGGCCCCTCGGAAGGCAGTTGTGGTCGTGTTGCTGTCGTGGCTCACTCGTTGGTTTATGGGTTGTCTTGTTTGGTGGTCGGACCGGCTTGTTGCCTCGAGCGCAGCAAGGGGATGCCAGATGAGACAATGAGGAGAGTCAAAACAAGCTTCAGCCTGGCCCAATTTGACATTGCCCCACATACCGTGTCACATACCAATGGGTGCAAGGAGTGGTGCCTTTGGCGCAGTTTCTTTTCGCTGCCTGGTGAATCTGGCGGCTTTGGCGGCTAAGCTCCAGCGCTAAGGATCAGTTCCCTCGTGACGGCAAGTTCTCGCATCAGATGATCGTGCCCCTCTCGCCTGCCTTTGTCAGTGAGAGCGGGGAGGAGCGAAGTTTGGCCAACCAAACTCCCACGTGAGTCCGGCTTGCAAAATGTTCGTGTGTGTGTGTTAGAAAAAAGGGGAACAAAAACGAGCAGCGATTGAGCCTGTAGCCATCAAGCATGAATTCTCCGCGCACTCACCGGGCCGTTTATTTTATGCAGCCACATGAGCCACCTTGGCAAAGGCATTCATTCATCGATGCCCTGGCGAGAGCTTCGCGGCTGGGAAGGTGACTCGAGCACGTTTTCTCAGGAAAGCAACGGCTCAAATAGCACCCCCGAAAGCGGACCAGGGCCATGGGCCGTTTTGCCCAAAAGAAGGCAAGCCCATGGTATCATCACCCCCCCCCCCCGCAAATGGTGGTTTTATCAGGGCAGGATACGGTGGTAGTATACTTTTGTGCCGTTTTGACCTATGCTCCCCCCCAAAAAAAGCACCCAAAAAGTGTACTACATCACGGCTTCCCCTTCTGCTTTTTTCGGGGAGGGGGGGTCTTTTTTCGGGGGGGGGGGGGGGTTTAGGGAACCCTCTTTTCTAGGGGGTCTTAGCTTCCTCACATTAGCCTGGGGGGGATGGGGGGGGCACCAAGCACCTCGGCGCGAGGAGTGCTTGCCGGCCTGCGTGAACATCTCCAACCTCTCGCGCCCCGAGGGCTCCCGCCCGGCGCTGCTGCGCTTTGCCGCGCCTCGGCGTCCGCGGCGTCTCGGGGGGGGGGGGGGGGCGGTCGGGTTCGAAACACAAAACGGTTGCGGGCGGGACAGGGCGGCGCATTTTTCGTGTTTTTTTTTGTTTGTTTGTTTTTTTTGGAAAAGTGGCCGTTGGTTTTTACTTTGAAGTTGGTTTGGTTGGTTGGCTTACGTGTTTTAGGTTGCTTTTGTGGGAGAGTCTCCCTTGTTTCCAAACTAGTAGCCTTGAATTGGTTGTGTGGATTGGTGGTTTGGGATTTGAGCCCCTGGCTCTTTTTGAAAGTTCCAACTTGGTTGGCTTACTCCCCACAGACTTACGTGAAACCCCAAAAAAAACACCCAAGTGCAGAGGACACTCCTTTTGGGGCCCTCCTCATGTTCGGAGATTGAAAGGATTAACGGATTAAGTGTCGGTTTTGTGATACTTGTAATGGATGCGCCACATTCAGATGCGCTTAAACCATTGTTAATGGCGCGTTGTCCCCCAGAACTGCTTAAATCCAGCAATCCCTTCAGAACTTGATTGAACATATGGGTCCGATCAACCCCCAGCAGTGTATGGTTCAAAGCGACTCCCACATGAACCTGTTCCAAGTATGCAATGCAGTCACGCCACAGAACCTGAAAAACATGAGTGCGCCCCCTTCTCCTAAATGGACGATAGACCACATATTTCGACCGAACCCATCCCAATTTTTGCTCCGTGTGCAGATTGCAGGGTTATTCGCTTCGACCCAGTTGACTTGCAGAGTCACAAGAAAAAGGCGCTAAGGGGACGGTTTTCTGGAGGCAAGCCACACTTTGCTTGTTGGGCTCAAGCCATCTACGTGTGGCAACTCACATCGCGACGACAACTCCTCCCCCTCTTTCCTCAAAAAATCGGGTCACGTCAGGTTCCTCTCGGGTGTGTTCCGCAGGGCCCCATCTCTCGGTTTCTCGGCTTCCTGGGCTTCCTTCGCTTCTGGCAAGCCAAACCCTTAGCTTGGCTGCCTCTACTTGCCTTCTTATCTCCTCAGGAGATCCTTAGCTTCTTAGCTTCTTGGCAAGCCCCAAGCGCCTCAAAACCTTAGCTTGGCTGCCTCATCTTGCCATCTACTTGCCATCTCTGGCTTCTTGCCCCCAACCGCCGTCCTCGGGTTTCAGGAGATGAAGACGCTCTTCCACGAGCTGGGCCACGTGGTGCACTGCCTCTGCACCCAGAGCCGCTTCAGCCTGCTGAGCTGGGCCTGGCCCATGGTGCCCTGGCCCGGCGGCGTGGAGCAGGAGGGATGGGAGGGATGGGAGGGGGATGGGGATGGGTTTGGGTGTCAAAATTGGAGGTATACTATGGACTTTTCTTTTTTTGGAGGGTACTTGTGTTGTTGTTTTTTTCCCGGAGACACCAGTCGGGTCTATTTTGCGACCATCCTCTTGGTTGTGTGTGTGACTGTGGTTTCTTGTTTTTCGGGTACTCTTTTTTGGTGGCTTGAAAGGGAGACCAAGAGGAAAACCACCATTTTTAGGGAGGTGCCCGGAAAAGGACATACCCATTGCCATATGGAACGCCCCAAAAAGGGTGGGGTCAGCATGGGCGAGAACAGAGCACGTACATCCTACAAGTGTTGTTTTGGTTGTTATCTAAGGGCTGCCGCCCTGTGCCGCCGCCGCCGGCTTGCTTATAACAATTATTACTACGTTTTTTTTTTTTGTCGGGTTTAACGGCACACTTAAAAGCATATGTGAAAAAGAAGAGCACCACGACAATGATTATGTTTTTGATGATGCAAATTATTACCCAACATTAGGGATGCTGACAATTATTACTATGCATTCGCATTATCGCCAGCAGTCATGAAGATAAAGTTGTTATGAGAATTATGATGACGCATGCCCTGCATCTCAAACAAGCTACTGCAAGACTAATTCGCATGATAATGAGCACCTTGTTGGATTTTACAAGAAGTGCCCGGTGTGTGGAAACTTGGGCAGGAAAACCATGTTGGGGGCACCTTTTTTTGTTCGCAAGACTTCGTTGTATTGCTGTGGATGCAAAGCAGGGACTTTGTGGCATCGCTTCGTCTTCGCATGAAGTAAGCTGTTAGCACGGATGCAATCAGATGGTGATGCACACCCGGCATGACTACACATCCCCTGCATTTCCGGTCGGGTCATGATGATGATGATGATGATGATGATGACGATGTTGATGATGATGATGATGATGATGATCCTGATGATCATCACGCATCGCCAGCATCACCAGCAGTTACCGTGACGACATCCTGATGATAATCATCACTATGCATCCCCAGCATGAGCAGCAGTTATCATGACAATCATGACTATGCATCACCTGCATTCCAAGTCGGGTCTAACGGCACACTTGAAACGTATATGAAACAGAAGAACGATGATGATCCGGAGGCTGCGAACATTAATCATCACGAAGACAAGCATGAGTACAAACCCTTCCCATGCGCCTCCCCTTTGGAGAAAGGGGTCGGCGGATTACCTCCCCACACCCACGTCTAGCAATTGTTCGAACACGCACCACAAAACAGCTTGCCTGTTATTTTAGTTATTCAACGTGGGAAAACAGTGTCATTTGCATGTTCTACACCAAAAAAAACGAACTCCGAGTCACACCTAAGATTCCAAAATACAAGAAAAACAAGGCAACTTCTCACTGGTGAGTTTGATCTTCTCAAGGTGTGTTTTAACGGGCTATCACCATGAGCCAAAGGAGGAAACCGCAAGGGGAGCAATGTTTGCCATCGTGATTCTCCTCCACCAATCTGAGCTCTTGACAACGGTGGTATGGATTTGGAGCCTACCTGGTGCTGAACCTATCGTCCCAAACTTGGATCTGTCCCACTTTTGGCACCCCTTTCTACTCTGGAAACCAGGACAGCGAGCACTTTTTGAGCCCGCACCCAGCTAGTCTCGTAAACTGCGAATTCCATACCCTTGCTATACCACCCTTTACACCGGTTGCACGGCCTTCCGGGAAGTTTTGTTGCGGAGGCAGGTTTGCAAGTGTACCCTCCCACCAAGACGCGGTTCCTCTTGGAAATGCGTCCGTGCGCACTTCCATCGTTGGCACGTGGGTGTTGGCTCCTTTTTTTGAGGGAACCCTTTGGCTGGTTGTGAGGGACGCCAAAAGGAGGCTCTTGCCATTTGGCAGGTCCAACCGAAAAGAAAAAAACAAGCAGGAGCCACACCCACCCACCCCCTCCTTGGCGCCCTCTGCAAGCCGTCCGTCGGTCGCAACCGGACACGGCCGCGTCCTTTTCGGCGTAATCGGCGTGTGACGATTCGGAATCGGAGGACTTTTTGGAGGTCCCCAGCATGGCGCTGGAGAAGTTCGCCTGCGAGCCCCAGCTGCTGCAGCGGGTGGCCAGCCACTTCGAGGATCCCCAGGCCCAGCTGGAGGACCCGGGGTTGAACGGCCGAGGGTCCTCCCCGTTTTGGGAACCTGGGTGAGTCAGCACCAGATGGTCCGCAGGTGTTGGTCCTTGGAACCCATTTACCCAGGGTTCCATTCTGGGTACCTATTTTTGACCCACATGTGTGCATGGGTGTTGATTTTTCGCTCCGGGTTGTGTATGTCTGGTTTGTGAGTCCGCAAGGCCTCAGGACTTGCCTGAGTCCACGGGACTCACATTTGAGTATTTGACAGGGAGGCCGAAAGCTGGTGTTTCCCAGATTCGATCACTTAAACTCCAGTGGATTAAGTTTCACCTTGCTGCCCAGATTCGGGATGCCAAACAAGCTGCCCAAAAAGTCCGTCCGGTCTCAATTCGCCTCGAGAGCATCGAGCAGCTGCGCGTGAGAGGAGTCCACCATTCAGACCATCAAGGACTTGGAGCGGTGGATGGTAGGCTCGCCAGCGTTGCACAGCTTCTCCATGCCTCACACACCACAAAGAATCAATCCGGTGCAACCAACAATCAATCCGGGGCAAACTGCTGGTCCTTTTTGCCATCCATCCCACTTGAATGCGTTGCTCGTGGCTCGGTGAGGCATCCAGGAGAGCCGCTACTTTGCCATGTCCTTGTTCGACTTGATGGTGCACTCACAGGCAGCGGCTGTCCGTGAGTGGCCAACAATCTGCTTTAGAGTTGGTTTAGGATTCGTTTAAAGTTGGGGGGTTTAGGTTTGCTTTAGGGTTGGTTCACGCCAAAGTGAGAGTTCAAGTCGTCACCGCAGTTTTCCACCCTTGCGGCTGAGTTTCCACTTGGTTCAAGCCAAGAAATCTTCCGGAACCGTGGGAAAGGGCATCCGTTTTTCCGTCCCAGGTGTCCTTTTGGGTTGTGTTGGTCGAAAACTACATGGGTTTCCCTGGTTGACCTGGTGGTTTCATCATCTACCAGGGCCATCTACTTCCCCTAAAAGGCCACCTATCACCCAGTGGTTGCGTCCTTCCAGCTCCTCCCAGGCCCCGCCCTACTCCCTGGACGGGGAAGAGGGCCTCTCGCTGGCGGAGCTCTTCAGGCGAGTGATGCAGCAGCAGACCTGCCTCCAGCAGCTGCCCGACACCAACTTCAGCTGCTCCTGGCGCCTCGGCTTCGCCGAAAACACCGACAAACCAAACCGGCGGCCCGGAGGCGAGCCCCGGTGGTCGGTTTTTGGGTCATTTTGGGTGTCGGTTTTTTGGGTGTAGTCATTTTGTTTTGGGGGGGGGGGGGTCATTTTGGGTGTAGTCGGCGATTTTTTCTTTCACAAAAAGACCTGCACCAACAAGTTGTCTGCTTGAGGCCGCGAAAAAGGGGCGCCCTGGGAAAAGGCACGCCCGTGTTGTTTTTGGGCAAACTGTGCCGGTGGGTGGGGAAAACTCCCAACATGGGTTCCTTCGAGTTTAAAGACACATGGCAAGATCCATATACCAGTCTGAAATGGTTCATTCGCAAGGGTTCAGAATCCCATGTTGATCCAAATAAATGGATGTGGCCCAGCCACACGTCTTGAGGATGCATCCCCAATGGAGCTGGCTTGCCGTCCACAGGATGCCCATGTCCATGTCACTTTTCCTGAAGCCAAGAGTATGGTGCAGGACTTTCCCGCATGTGGAGACGGAGTTTACTCAGATTCCCATGCCAGTTGAGAAACTGTCATTCATAGACCAATTGGACTCCCAGGTATCATTTGTACATCGGCTATGACGCCGGCTTCTACGGCTACGGCTGGTCCGACGTCTTTGCCGCGGATATCTTCGAGACCATGCGCGCATCGAAGGACCGAGTTCTTATGTTGTTGCCAGAATGGCGAAGGGATGCGACGTCGAATGGTCCTGCGATGCTTGACTGCTGTTGGGTTGGATCTTTAGACTTTAACTTTTTGGGAAGGCAAGGGGTTTTCCATTAAACCATATTAAACCCACAAAAAGTTAAACTTTGTGCAGAGGGTTCAACAGCAACCCACTTTTCAGGATCAATCTGAAGTGAAGAAACAGGAGAGATTCACGTGCAAGAGCGGTGAAGGCACCTGCCGATCCCCAACACACAAATCTTGCGAAAGAATCTACCACAGATTTTGGCAGCACATGCAAGTGCCACTCAGCCACTCAAAGAGCAAGAAATGGCTAGTTTGTTGTCTTGGACACCCTTCGAACACTTGGCAGAACCTTAGCCACGCAGAGACACACACACACACAAACACAAACACAAACACAAGCACACTTAGCAGAAACACGAACACGCAGTCACATACACGACCACGCAGCCACATTCAGACCTACGAGCCCCAAAAACAACCACCACGACCCCAGCGCCTTCTCGCCGTCTCGCCTTCCGCTCCTTCCGCTCCTCGCCTCGGATCAGGAGGGGGCGCTGAGCGGGGCCACGGGCCAGGCGCTGCGTTCGGAGATCCTGGCGCCCTGCGCCACGCGCTGCGGCCAGGAGATGCTGCGCCGCTTCCTGGGCCGCGAGCCCTCCGTGGAGGCGCGCTCCGCGCGGTGGCCGCGGTTTGGCGGGCTGGTGCTGGTGTCGTGGGAGGGGGGAGGTTTTTCTGGGTTGACGCGTGGTTTTCGGAAAGAAGAAGAGAAGAAGAGAAGAGGTTTTTCTGGGCTGACGCGTGTGTTTGCAATTATGGTCCTGGAGGTTTTTCTGGGTTGACGCGTGGTTTTCGGAAAGAAGAAGAGAAGAAGAGAAGAGGTTTTTCTGGGCTGACACGTGTGTTTGCAATTATGGTCCTGGAGGTTTTTCTGGGTTGACGCGTGGTTTTCGGAAAGAAGAAGAGAAGAAGAGAAGAGGTTTTTCTGGGCTGACACGTGTGTTTGCAATTATGGTCCTGGAGGTTTTTCTGGGTTGACGCGTGGTTTTCGGAAAGAAGAAGAGAAGAAGAGAAGAGGTTTTTCTGGGCTGACACGTGTGTTTGCAATTATGGTCCTGGAGGTTTTTCTGGGTTGACGCGTGGTTTTCGGAAAGAAGAAGAGAAGAAGAGAAGAGGTTTTTCTGGGCTGACACGTGTGTTTGCAATTATGGTCCTGGAGGGTTTTCTGGGTTGACGCGTGGTTTTCGGAAAGAAGAAGAGAAGAAGAGAAGAGGTTTTTCTGGGCTGACACGTGTGTTTGCAATTATGGTCCTGGAGGTTTTTCTGGGTTGACGCGTGGTTTTCGGAAAGAAGAAGAGAAGAAGAGAAGAGGTTTTTCTGGGCTGACACGTGTGTTTGCAATTATGGTCCTGGAGGTTTTTCTGGGTTGACGCGTGGTTTTCGGAAAGAAGAAGAGAAGAAGAGAAGAGGTTTTTCTGGGCTGACGCGTGTGTTTGCAATTATGGTCCTGGAGGTTTTTCTGGGTTGACGCGTGGTTTTCGGAAAGAAGAAGAGAAGAAGAGAAGAGGTTTTTCTGGGCTGACACGTGTGTTTGCAATTCTGATCCTGGAGGTTTTTCTGGGTTGACGCGTGGTTTTCGGAAAGAAGAAGAGAAGAAGAGAAGAGGTTTTTCTGGGCTGACACGTGTGTTTGCAATTATGGTCCTGGAGGTTTTTCTGGGTTGACGCGTGGTTTTCGGAAAGAAGAAGAGAAGAAGAGAAGAGGTTTTGCTGGGCTGACACGTGTGTTTGCAATTATGGTCCTGGAGGTTTTTCTGGGTTGACGCGTGGTTTTCGGACAGAAGAAGAGAAGAAGAGGTTTTTCTGGGCTGACACGTGTGTTTGCAATTATGGTCCTGGAGGTTTTTCTGGGTTGACGCGTGGTTTTCGGAAAGAAGAAGAGAAGAAGAGAAGAGGTTTTTCTGGGCTGACACGTGTGTTTGCAATTATGGTGCACCGTCCCTCTCCGCTCCCGTCCCAGGCGTGGTGCCGCCTCAAGGGCGTCCAATGACCATCCAAAGTGATGGCCGAAAGTACAGCCCAAAAAGCGGCGACCGGCTCGCGCGAGCCGGAGACCAACTGGCTGTGACCAACAGAACAGGTTGGGGTGAGGTGATAAGAGAACCGAAGCAGATTAGAAGTCCATGACGTTTTTGGGCAAGTCTGGCTCGCCAACTCTTGATTTCTGCCAGGAGCATGACCTGGTGAGGACATTCCAGGCAGACTGCTTCCGCCTTCCATGTTCATTCGGTCGATGTATGTGACCAGGCACCGATCTTTTGTCGCATGGCGTCCTTCCGTGGCGAAGTTTCCCCGCAAGAATTGGACGGGATCAGGAGATCCTGCACGGCCTGCTAGTGACCAAGCCCGCCGACCCCCACGGCTTTGTGGAGGCGGGGCGGCTACGAGCATCAGCAGTTGCTGTTCAAATTGAGCCACTCGGAAAAACGATCCTAGGAGCCATTCACTTTGCTGGGCACCCACGCATGTCAGCGTCTCCCCCGCAATGAAGGGCATGGTTGCTGTTCAAGTGAGCCAATCGGAAAAGCGATCCTAAGAGCTATTCACGCCGCATGTCAGCGTCTCCCTTCGGTGTCAGGCGCATTTGGCAAAGGCCCGAAAGCTGGCTGCGCTCTCAGAGCCTTGGGAAAGCTGGCGCCACTTGCAATGCCTCCGAGGCAAGAGGCGATGCAGGGACCTCGGGCGGTTATTAACCCGACCCCGTGTTGCGGCCTAGCACACCTTGAAGACGATACCAAGCTGAGTGAGGGGAAATGTGAGAAGATCCGAAGCAAAAAACGCCTCGAGCCTTTGAACGCCTTCGCACCCAGGTGGCCAGCCCCTACGGCCCGGCACCAAGTCGGATCTTGGACGCAGCTCAGGGCCCTTCCCCGTGCGGGGGTACACCCTCAAAGTGTTCGAGTGTGAAAAGTCAAGGCGGAAGTCTGGGACGCGAAATCGAAGGATTGGTTTGAGCTGATGTCACTCAGATTTTTCCTTGGCATGGGCGACTTGACCCACTTTTTCGCCAAAAGACGTGGAAACAAATTCTGAGTGGCTACATCAAGGTTGATGTAGGTGCTCCGTAGGCTTCGACTTCAGTCTGTCTTGAGGGGTAGCGAGGCGACGGCTGAGGCGAGACGGACCGCGGCTCCGTGGGCTCAGGGCAAGCTGCAGAGCTCTACAAGGCGCAGCCCGAAGGTGTTGCCCGAGTAGTGCTCAGGTGAATGACCCCGTCCAGATGTGAATGAACCGTTGTAAAACGGAGTCCCGACAAAAAGGAAATCACCAGTTGGACCAGTTGGATGGTTTGTGGAGGTTGCTCATTCCCTGAGAACTGAGAACCTGCAAGTACACCTCGGGGTCGCGAGGCGAAGAGGAGGCGCTCCAGCGTGCTGCGCTCGGGCAGAGAGAGCGGCTTGGAACATGGAGTCTTAGAGTGCGATTGGGTCTCCTCCCCATGGGCAAGCGAGCTACTAGTACTTCGCAGACCAATCTACTTAAGGTCCGCGAGAGAATGCGGGAGAAGCAGCGGGCAGCCGCAGGATGCTCAAAGGCCGGGAGAATCTTTGATGTGCATTTGGTGCATATTCCATCCAGCCACCAAGGAATACTAAGCCTAGTCCACCCCACCAAAATGACGAAAGAATACGAAGCCCAGTCCACCCCACAAAAAATGGTTTGACAAAATTCCCCAAAGACCGACCCCAAAACGGGTTCCACCTCTTGCCGCAGGTGGAGGCCTTGCTCATGACCCTGGAGGCGGCCAGTAACAACTTGGAGCTGGCCCGGGCCCCCAGTCCGACGGCTCCCGATCCCCAGGAGCTCCCCCCTTGTTGTTTTTGCTTTTTGATGGGGTCCCTTTGTTTTCCACCAGGCAGAAAAGAGGATGGATTCTTTTGCGTTTTTTTTTTTTTAAGGCAAGAAAGATGATTTTTTGGCTGGGGTCCTCATTCCAGCCTAGGGATGAGGCGCCCCTCAACTCGTTGAGTGGGGCGTCCTGACCAGAAGCGGCCGCCAGTTTTGCTCAGCGTACTGTGCAATGTGAATCTCAGTCACTGGAATGAGTTCCCCTTCCAAGGTTGCAATTTACTTTTCTACTATTGCCGTTTTGGGTCGTGTAGCGGCGCGAACCTTCCAGCCGCGTTGCCGCATTCATGGAGTTTTGTTCGCTCGAGGTGCTCCACTTGGTGCCCGACACCCTCCGTGAGAGCATCTCCGATCCCACCTTCGTTGATTTGCCCCGCACCGAGGAACCGAGTCGCTCGCGACTCGCGACCTGGTTCGCAGTGACAAGGGTTTCCTCCATTTCCCCTGTTGGAACCTCCAAAAGTGGCAGTCACCAGTAAGTTGTAACTTTTGAAGCGGGCATCCAGTGAACTATCCAAGTTCCAAGCATTTCTTTTTGTCAGGTCCTTCAGGACGCTTGTGTTTGGAAAAGAGGTGAGCTTCGGCCAAGGTGTGTGCAGAAGTTCAAGTCTCTGGACAAGGAGGAGCGTGGTCCGCATCTTGGGTGACGCCAGCCCTTTTGCGGTCTCCCCAGGGCCTTCAAAGACGCGGCCAACGGGATAGTGTGCCCAAAACCAACTAGCGCACTGGATTCTGGTTTGGAGATCAGGGCAAGCGGAGACTTTGGTTCAAAAAATCGGAAGACTTGCAGCGCATGCCCCCGGCTCTGTGGGAATGTGGGTCGCCTTCAGCCCGGCCCAGGGGACCTGACCTCGGACGACCTGATGCCCGTCATTGCCGGAAGCCGAAGCTGTGACCACTAAGTGGCGACCTGGTATGGTTGGGATACGGGGAATCACACCTGGACGACCCAAGTTTGGTGCGCGCCTGGGGAAGCAAGAAATTCTTTGTCATGTTGACACGATAGCTTGTCCGGAACCTTGCTAACTCTTCGTAGAAGTATGCAGTTGGTACCAAGGTAATTCCCTGCGCATCGAAAGCGCGACGACGATCCACTTGAGGATCAGCCCACTTGAGAATGATATTTCATTGTGTAGGATAACTCATTCAAACAGAGGGAAGATCAGCAAACTGCCAGTCAGCCATTCAGCGAGTCGGTCCGTCATCTAGGTAGCTGTCGACACTTCAGCACTGGTGGGTTGACCTTTGGGCTGGCCGAGGTGGAGCTGAGCCGCACACAGGAGGAGAGCATCGCCGCGGAGCAATGCAGGACTCGGCTGGAGTCTTGTGTCGATCGACGAAATAACTTCTCGTGTCAGGAAGTTCGCGGACATGTTCGATTCCGACCAGGACTGGCATGGCAAGAGTCTACTTGCACCGAGCTTTGATCCTGCTTGTATCGCTTGCACCGAGCTTTGATCCTTGTATCGGCGCGAGAGAACCCCAGCCGAGTCGAGCCAGGATGGCCTCATCAACGTGACCGAGTTCACGCAGATGGTCCAGTTTGTGACGGTGGCCGGCTGGCTGGAAACACAGGAGCCGAAAGAGAAAGAAAGCACGGGCGAAATACGGCGAGTTCCTGGCAAGGCACATGTTTGGCGATACAGCCCGAAAACAGCTGTGCCAGACTGCTAGACCAAAAAAAGAAAGAAAGTCGCTCTAACGGTTTGACTTGCGAGGAGGGCAAGGACATGATCCAGAAGGCGCCTCTCGGTTTCCAAGCCCGACACGCAACTTTCAAACCCTGGAAGTGTTGGGAACGGTCTCAACCAAACAGGTGGGTTTGGTACCCCTTTGGTACCCCTTGTGTGGTGGTTTTAAAAAGGAAAACCGCCAGTTGTTTGGGTCCCCTAAAAGAGACACACCCATATAGCTGCGGCGGAAATCCCTTTTGGATTCAGGTTGGCAGGGTCCGTGGCGCGTCCCGCGAGCCAGGCTTCCCTGGCTGACAAGACCTTCCAGGCAAGATGCCGCTGCACGCGGATGGCTCACCCATGACTTTGACCGGATTGAGCTGCGCAGGACTTCATCCATATGATCGAAGTAGACAAGGCGCACTCAAATTGGGGGACTGGGGGGGCCGGGGGGGGGGGGTGCAAGGGGGAAGGGGCGTGGGCGCGGCTCTCCCCTTCGCGCGTTTTTTGGCGGATGCGTTCACAAAGCCACAGGAGCGGTTGTGGAGCATCATCCCCTTCTTGCCGGACTGGCTGGCCGGGTCGCCTGGGCTTTGCGCGCCGAACCTTCGCCAGGATATGACTCGATGTGACTTGCCGCGGGCTCCCTTTAAAGGGAGGTGCCCAATCCTGAGATAAATTAGAACATGATTTAGCTCTTGCGGCCTTATTTGGGCCCCCTCCCCTCCCCCATGATGAGAGAAGCCCCTTTTGGGTTCGGGACCTGAGCATGGCCACGACACTGAGGTGCAGCACCTTACGGGGAAGAAGTTCGAAGATGCTGGGACCTCAGCGTTTCTGCCTGCGGCCTTCCCGACAACTGGGCGTAATCGTTGGCCTCATGGTGGGACAGCAAGGTGTCAGGCCGACTCAGATTCTAACTCAGCCTTGCGAGATGCGTCCGAATTTGGGGAAGTCTCAGTAGCAATGGCACGGGACTGATTCTTAACATTGGGGTTGATGGCCTCACCCCAAATTCAGTGAAGTTGTTCCGCATGACGAGCAGTACTTGTTCTCGTAACATACTCTGGTCAGGCAGAGGTTGAACAGGGTGGGCAGAATCCCTCGCATTAGGCCTCAAAAAATCGGTTGCTGGGTCGCTGGTTGGAGAAGAAGAAGGAGCTTTCCAAGCTCTCGTGGCAAGCTGGGACGGTTTTGTGTCCGAGACCGGCCCACGAAGTTGTTGTCGCATCAGGAGCCAAGGTTCAAACCAAAGCAAGGCAAAACAACCAGCACGAAGAATGAATAAACCCAGGCCTGGTATCCCCAACAGCCCCGGAACTTCCTGGAACCTTCCAGAACCCTCCGGAACCGTGAAAGTTGCCCCAAACCCCAGACTCCTTCTGGGCAGAGACCGAATCCGTAGCTTTCAGCTTTTGGGGAACAAACCAATAAACCACAAACAAAGAAAGCAACACAAACCAAACCCAAACAAGCAGCACTTCTCTCACATCCCAAATCTCACCGAGGGGTTCCCCCCCGGCGCTTGGCGCCGAGGCCTGCCACGAGCAGTTCGACGCCTTGGACGCGGACCGCTCCGGGGAACTGGAGCCAATGGAGCTGCTGCCGGTGATCCAAGGCATCTGCCAAACCGAGGACCGGCCGAAGTTCGACGGGAAGCTCATGAGGTGTTTTCGAATTTTCTTCCCCGGCCATTGGTCTTATGTTATGATAGGTGTGCCTTCTCTCCTTTGTTTGGGGTGTCCACTTGACCCGCTAAAGGTTGAGAAGCGTTTTGGCAAGGGATGGTCAAGAAAACAGGTGTGCGAAATGGTTTTGCCAAACCGGGTTGGGCGATTCAACATGAAAAGCATGATCAATTGAACCAACTCCTTTCGCCTTGCAAACAAACACACATGGTGGTCTTTCTATTTTTGTTTGCCTAACCTGGTGCGTTCAAGGTGTGCTTGTGTAGTGGTCATTTGTCCTGTTTCCCCGCTGGTTTCCACTCCAGGGGCTCATTCTTTTTCTTTGGTTGTGTGGTACCCTTTAAGTTCAGCGGATTCCACACATGTGGCTCGACCCAGGGGTTCTGGGTCCTAAATCAGTCCATGCCAAGACTCGTTGGGAAGGCAAGCTTGGTCCATCCAACCTGAGACCGCCTTGTCAATGCAAGTCGTTGGGTGCGAACTTGAGAAGTTGATGCGGGAGACCAAGCATCGGCTTAGAAAGGGTCGGTGCAGTGGGCGGATGTGTTGGTTGATTGAGAAGCCAGGAGCATGCCTTGCCAATGACCGAGGAGAAATGCTGGAGGCATGGCGTTAACGCCAGACTTTTCTGCATCCCTGTTTGCTTAGGACAGAGTTGAGTCCTTTGAATTCCTAAACCTTTATGGGTGTCTCAAAATTCGGGAACCCCCCCCCCCCCCGCCCGCCAAAAAAGAAAGAAAGAAATGAGGTGGCGTGCCACTTTTTCACCAACCTTGCAGGAGTTCTCAGAGACATTTACACCCAAAGCATCCGAAGACCAAGCCGTCGCCAGGTTCACGTCGCTCTTCGACACCGATGGCAATGGCGTGATCCGGCGAGCCGAATCGGTCGGCCTGAGCCGCTTCCCGCCCGAAGGAGGATGTGTTCATTTCGGGGAAGAGATGGGTCGTTTTTTGTTTGATTGTACGGGTTGGTTCTAAGGGGAAGCCAACAGGAAAACTACTTTTGGGGGGGGTCCCGTTTAACAAAGACGCCCATCTGAGCCAATTTCACTCTGCCCATTTCAGAAAGCACACCATCCGACTTTGAAGCCGAGAATGGGGCGCAGGCGGGACGAGTTCATCGAGTTCGCCCAATTTCTGACGGTCATGAACTTCTTGACCAACACTGAGGAGGGCTTGACAGTGGAGCCCCCAGGTCAGTCATCTTGCAGCCCTTTGGCCAGGGGTGTGTTGTGCAGCTTGTCTCAAAGGCGTTGCATGTTCTGTTCCACTTGGACGCACCAAAGACTGACCTATCACGCGGGTTGGACTCCGCAGCTATTTTGGTGCTCTTTTGCGGCGTTGAGACCATCGCAATCGAGCCCTTCGCGCAATGAAGTGCATGTCCGCGGTCCTTCTGCTTGCGCTGGCGAACGCGGCGCAAGCGGCCTCGGTCATTGCCAAGGTCATCTCCATGCTCGAAAGCATGAGACTCGGAGTTGGTGTGGCGGTGTCCGGGCCATGAAAGGGTGCGACTAGATACGGGCGTGCCTTTTGTTTTTGGGGACCCCCCAAAATGGTGGGTTTCCTTTTGGTTTCCTTTTGAAACCACCCAACAAGTGGAACCTTGAACACAAAGGCGGACCCATCTTCAATTTTTCTTGGCAGTTTTTTGTTGTTTTTTGGTTTTTGGTTCTGTTCATCTTTACTGGGGGTCTGCAAAAAGCTTTAAGTTTTTTGCTACCATACCAAGAGTAGAGATGCGCCATGTTGGCTGAGGAAAGAGTCCGGCTTGAAGGAGAAGCAACAGGAGGAGGTGCAGTACGCGGCCTACCACAGCTGGTGCGATGCCGAGATTGCCACCAAGACCCGGGAGGCCAGACTTGGTTTTGTGCCAGCGTAGCCCTTTTGGGCTTGTTGGGCTTGTTGCCCCCAAACACTTTTGGGATACTCACCCTCCCACCAACTACCATGGAAGTGCAAAATAGCCCTTTTCCAAGAGGAAAGTGGTCTTTCTACAGAAGCTTGTGCACTTCCATGTTAGCTGGTGGGAGGTAGTCAAAACAGCCGGGATAGTCAAAGAAGGCCACTTTTTGACCATAGAACAACCAAATCAAGTGGGGCAAAGGGGAAGTTGTGCCAGGTGGGCGAGGGTGGAGAAAAGGTTCAGCTGCTGCTTGGCCGCGAGAACACCCACCCCGACGGACCCTTCAATCGAGTTCCTTCTGATTCGCCTTGGGGCAGCGTGGGTTGCCCCCAGTTGTTGGCCACGCGAACCCCGTTTCCGACCTTGATATTTGAAGAAACAAGCCTACCACCTTTGCGAGTTTACGCAATGTGTTGTCCGTTTTTTGTTTCCTTTCCCGGATCCTCCCCTCCTGTACTCTTCCTGCTCCCGCGCAAACCACTTCCCGTGAACCCTGAAGGAGATTTTGGCCCAATGTTCGGTACGAACTTGGGGGCAGTCGCCAATGAGTGAAATTCCAGGGCGAAAAAGCGGCAGCACCCTTCAGCAAGGCAACCGCCCGCCCAGATTCCGAGGCCCAGCAGCAAATTGTCCACTCCTCCTCATGGTTCTTCCTTTTTGTCATTTCCCTGTACTATCACAACAGGGTTCCCCATGTTGAGACGTGTATCCAGGGGTTCGCCCTTGTTAAGCACAAGTCCACGTCCAAAAAAAACAGTGCCAAATCATTTTTGCACCCAGAAAGGTGCTGACAAACGGCTTGCCCAAGCCGTTTGTTTGTCTTGCGTTGAAACGGGTTTCCTTCGGGTCACTTCGCTACGCGGCTCCCGCGGCTCCCGCGGCTTTCGCGGCTCAGGCTGCAGGCGGGCATCGAGAGCTCTCTGTCGGCGGCGGAGACGCTGGCGGCGCAGCTGGCGGAGAAGGCGGCGGAGCTGGAGAAGCTCGGCGCGCAGAAGAAGAACGCCTCCGCAACGAGGAGCAGCCAGGCGAGTCGTTTAGGGGCTTTTCGAGGCAATGGGGGTTCCGGCGACCCCGGTTTTCCGGATGAGAGGTTTGATTTATGGTGTTCCGGCTGTGGAGAAGGATTGAAGAGCGGCGATCTGAAGTTCGGTGGCAACCAATCCACCGCACGGGTTGTGCCGCGAGAGCGCAGGCTGAGAGCTACAAGACCACACACAAGGACTACACCGAGCCTCGCCGCAGAGGCGTCCCATCCAACTCTCACCACCTCAGGTGAACCATCACGGGCGCCCTCGCAAGCTGTTTGGAACCTCAAAAAAAACATTTCAGGAGTGAGCCTTTTGGAATTATTTCCTCTGGGATCTTCCACCTTTCCGCATTTGCAGGAAATTTGCCGCGGTGTTCTAAGCTTCTGCTCCCTCCGCTTCTTCCGGTGCTCTCCTCTTTCCGAACCGAAAAAGCGAAAAACTAGGTCCCCCAGTAGTGCCCTTCTCTCCCCTTTTTTGGTTGGGAGGGTTCCCCTACTAAAAAAAAAGCACCCTTATTCTAACCTCTCTACTGGACCTAGAAAAAAAAAGCCGAGGAGTCCATCCAGGCCATCATGGGCGCCCTGCGCGAGCTGAAGACCAAGGCCTCCGCCGACGTGGGTAGCTTCCTGGCCACCAAGGCCTCGCGCGCGGCGTTCCTGGCGCTGGCGCGCCGGGGCTCAGAGCCGGAGAAGAGCCTGGAGACGCGGTAGCAAAATGACAATTGGGCATGGGCCAAAATTATACCACCAAAGGACCGCAGGTTTTAGTCCTTGGTTCCATCAACCAGAATTCCATTTTGGGTCCCATTTTTGACCCACAGCCGAGTCGTTGACAAATACCCGAGGAAAGTGGAGAAATACCAAAGAGAAACTGGAACATCGCAAAGGAAGGACTCATGGTTTGGAGGAAATGGGGAAACCCGCAGGCTACATGAGAAGCTGGAAAACACCAGGTTCTCACAGGCAGCACAGGACAAGACTGCGTTTGTACCCCCATGGTTAGAGCCCATTTGTTTGTCACGCGGAGTTGACCTTGGCCCCAGGACAGGATGATCACTCACAATGACAAGAGCGCTGCATCACAAGCAAGCCTATCAAACCACCGGGAAAAACAACGAAAAACACCTGGAAAAAAACAAAACACATCCGATGTTGCCCTCGCATCGCCTTTCTTCCGCCTTTGGTGTGGCGAACTTGTCCGAGGATTCCCTGGACTTCTCGTCCTCGCGGATCGAGGAGATGCTGACTGCGCTGAAGGACAAGTTCCGGGAGGAGCGGGCGGCGGCGGAGAAGGAGGAACTGCAGCTGGGCCACGCGCACGAGAAGCTGCTGCAGGAGCTCACCCTGATGATCTCCCAGGGGGAAAGCGACCAATCCGCGCCGCGCCGGTACGAGGGACCAGTTGGGTATGGGTCAAAATTAAGCCACCAAGATATGGACCGCTGGTTTTAGTCGTTGTTTCCATTTACCCGGGTTCCATTGTACCTATTTTTGACCCACACCCAGTTCAGTCATGGTCGTTGGTCGTTTCGGGGGCATGTGGCCATAGAGACTTCTTGAAACAAGGCTTGAGCTGAAGCCCCGAAAGCCCTGGATGGGTGCATGCAGTCTCTGGTCGTATGGAAGTAAGAATATATGTTTAATATATGGAGATGTTGATTTTATGTTTATATGTATATACACATATGTGCAAATGCACAAACATAAGGACTTCTTTGAGAACAATTTCCCAACATGTTCTTAAAAAGCAAAAACAACGCGAGTTGTTGGCAAAAGCGCTTGTTTACCAAAAACGTGAATTTCGGTTCGACCTCTCCATGGTTGCTTGCCAGCCACTACTTACCCCTCATCAATTCCATTCCTCATCAGCTGTTCATGAGAGCCACGTAGCAGGATTAGTGTGCCCAGTCCGCAACTGGTTCAAGCGACACAGGCAAGTACTAAAAAAGTTGTTTTTGGCCTTTCCGCATATTTTCCGCCGATTTCCGCGTACTTCCCGCCGATTTCCGCGTATTTCCCGCCAATTTCCGCGTATTTATTGCGGGTGGCCAAATTGGTGGGAATTTGGCACAAATCCATCGATTGCAACAATTGGGGGCAATTTCCTAGCTTTGTTTGGGGTTGTGGCGCATCCCTGTACCATGTCATGGAAGCGTACATGTCCCACTCCTGTTTTGGAAGGGTTATATATAAATAAATATGTTTTTACACATATATGTGACACATGTCTTCACCTTCCACGCAAGGCGAAGAGTCAGAGCAAGGCCAAGGCGCAGGAGGCCGCCGGGGCCCAGAAGGCCGAGCTCGCGGACTCTGAGAGCTCCGTGGAGGAGCTGCAGAAGTACCTCCAGGCGCCCCGGATCGAAAAAACGAAATCGATCCGAACCGACGGCCCTTCGATCCGCGCGGGGAGGACATGTGGGGCATGGGTTTAAATACGGGGCGCAACCCCCCCTCCCAAAAACAAGCTAAGAATAAAATGAGAGCTGTTTGTCTCCGGTTTTCCTTCACGAAGGCTCCTCCCGTTTACAGGGGTTAGTCTGAGGTGTGTCTTAAAATGGGGGGACCCAAAAAGTGCTGTAGCATCACTTAGACAACACTTAAGGATTGGTGAGAATCTAACATTCATCAAGGACTTCTTGATATCCAAAATGGGGGGGGGGTCCCAAACAAGTTGTCAGTTTCCGATTAGTGTCCTTTTAACAAAGGGACACCGACCAAAAGGAAGGCTCCACACCTGACTGTCCTTTTGTCGGACCCGAAAAGGTGGGTTTCTTGTGGTCTTTCAAAAAACGGGATACCCTCACAAAAAGACGCAACTGGGTATGTCGACAAAAATCCGGGGAGCCCCGAAATCGGTCGGTGCTCTTTGGCTTTCCTTTAAACCAACCTCAAAATGGGTACCCTCAAAAGGCAGATGTACATGAACAAATTGGGAACTGTGGCATCAACTGTCACCCAACTGCACGACTCCAGTTTTTCCTCGTTTTTTTTCTGTGGAAAACGAGCCAGATCAAAACCAAGCAGCTACCAGCGGAAAGCCCGGAGTTCCAATCCGCAATCAGGATTCCCATAGGCTTTGAACTGAAAGATCCCAAAAATGGGTTGCATGGTGTTTCTCTTTGAACGGATCTATGTATATATATATATATATACACATGTATATATATATATATCGATGTGCTTTCTGAGTCGGTGGCTTTGTTGCCTTCAGGAGGTGAAGGTCACCTGCGAGCAGAAGGCCAAGGACTATGAGGAGCGCATGAAGCTCCGGGACGGGGAGACCCTGGCCATCACCAAGGCCCAAACCCGCCGACTCGATGAGCTGTCGACTCGACTCGATGAGCCGGTCGCCAGGGGGTCGGTCCGGGAGGGAAAATGGAAGACCTGCGAAGAGATGCCAAAAGGATGGAAGAGAATGGTCAGCAGCTCATACTGATATGGCATAAACCAGCAAATTTATCAATATGATCAGAAATCACTACAATATTAAGTAACCAAAAAATGTGAGCGCACACATACACGCAGACGCGCAGACTCCGTCCCTCGCATGGGGATGACCGTGAGCTCTCTGGCGCGTAGCTCCAGGCCACGGAGCTGCTGTCCTCGCAGCAAGTGGGGGCCACCCAGGGGCGGCTGAGCCTCCAGCAGCGCCGCACCGCGCTGGTGGCCCGGCGGAGCCACTCCGCCTCCGCCACGGACGACGAGGCAGGGACGAGCAAAAGGCAAAAAGGCGCCAAAAGGGGTTGTTTCTGTTTGGGTGGTTTGGGTGGTGGTTCCTTTTTTGAGCGGCGACTCTACTGTTTGTGACGTTTTAGGCTTGAAAATTGTGCCGTGCTTGATTTGTTTGTTGAGGAGGCAACGTGAACCTGCTGACTGGATGGTGTGTGTTTCTTTGGTCTTGGTGTGTTCCTTCTTGGGAGATGCGGTGCGTCTCTTTTTTGGTGTGTGTGTTTTTTACTGAGGGAAACCGACATTAAAAAGGCCATTTTGGGGCATCCCCGTTGCCGCAGATCTCTCCGTGTGTTTTTGTTTCAAGGTGCCCTTCTTAGGGACACCGCCGCCTGCGAGGCCCAGAGGAGGGCGGCGCAGTATCTGCAGAGCCAGGCACCGATGATCTTCCACGGTGTCTTTGTGAGGTAACCCTTGGATTGGTTTTTGGGATGTGAACCGGTTGTTGAGGGTACATGGAAATTCAAAGGGGGGGGAAGCTGGTCAACGGTTTCTTTGGGTTCCTCAATAGAGGAGCCTAATTTTCTACCCTCCGATTCGGTCTTTGGAGGGCGAACGGGCTGGGTCGGACAAAAGGGTCATTCAAGCGAGCGCTTTCGGAGGTCCTCAATGAGGAAAGTCGATGCGCCATCCTAGTTGTCCGCATCCCGCTTGTCGTCCCAAACTAGAGCTGGGTTCCACAGTGACCAGTTGTTCCATGTCTCTTAGGTGACCCCCCCAAAAAAAAACAACAACAAAGGAAAACAGATGGTTGTCTATAGGATCTGGGATGGCGTTTCTTTGAAATGAATCTCTTGATACTTCCCAGCCATCCGCTTCCTTAGGTTTGGGATGTGTTTGGTGGTTTGGGATGTTTTGGTTGGTTTAGTGGTATGCTCACCGATCAGAAAGCTTCGATTTGACCATATCGGGTAACCACGGGAACCGCCCCTTCAAAAACCCAAGGAAAACGGCTGGTTGCCTATTAGAGTGACGCTCTGGGATGGGCTTTCCATGTTTTCCATGTGAAACCTGCAATTGAGCCACGTGCTCAAAACCCGGGTAGATGAAGGTTAGTAACGCACGATCCCAACCATAAATAGCTGCGGCCGCCTGCTTAATCCTGTACATGGTTCTGGGTAGACTATTTTAGCACCAGGTTGTGGTTGTGACTCAGTTCTCAAGTGAGAGAAAAAGCTGATCAACGGTTTCTTCGGGTTTGCCCTATGGATGTCCACGTCAAAAACCGCCATGCGCCCAGGCGGTGAAGTTCAACAGCCGGGTGCTGTCCTCCATCGCCACTCGCCTCAGCGCGGATCCCATGGCCAAGGTCAGAGACATGGCGCCTCCTCGGCGCAAAGGGTTCGGTGTGCAAGGCTGTTTTCGGTTTGGAGACCCGGAGAAGAAGAAAAAGAAAAAACACGTGTTTTGTTTCTTCTGTTTTTGTTTCCCCCCCTCCCCCCGTTATTTTTTTTTGGAGGGGGGGGGGGGGACCCTTTTTGGGGTTGGTTTGAAGGGGACACCAAAACCGGCATTGGTCTGTCTTTTTGTGAACCTCACTCCTTCTTGAAGCTGGTCTAAAGAGAAACCAACAGGGAATCCACCATTTTGGGGGGGTGCCCTAAAAGACACACCCGTCCCGGTTGTCCTTCTAGCTTCCCTAAACCACCCAAAAAGGCTCAAAAACACGAGAAATATGTATGGGTCTGGATGCATGGATGCTTACCACCATAAGCTGGCAGTACGAACGCCTTGTACATCACCTCCATACCTCCAAAACCCACACCTAAAACTGCCCCTTGGAAAGGGAAGTTGATTGGGGTTGCACTGATTCTCTTCTGGGGTGTGATCGTTTCTGTTTAAGGCATGCTTTTGTGGGTCCAAAAGTCGAACCTCCACACATCCAACCCTGAAAAAGCTGTGGAGATTTGGGGTGTTCTCGTGGAATTGCTCTGGTTTGATCAAAAAACAACTGGGACGCAAAGGGTCAGTTACTCAGGTGACCTCTCGAGAGGTTTTCGGGGCTTGAAATGATTGAGCAGCCAAGGGAATTCCTCGACACCACTCCAGTGGTTCGTTTGTTTTGCCTGACCCATTCTGCATTTATATACTTTCCTGGTTGGATTGGCTAGCTTGGTAAAAGCAAGCAAGGCTTGGCTGGCGAAAAGCATTTGGTGGCCATGTGTCCCTTGTTCAGCGAGCATACACCTACCAAATTGGCAGTGATGTGTCTTGGGCTTTAGGAGAAAGTGGCGAGACAAGTCTGATCTTTTTGCTCCCAGCAAAAAGACGGGGTGGAGGGGCTCCATTCCCAGAAAAGGTCTCTGTTTCCAGGTGGTCTTTTTTGGAGGGACCCCCCAAAAGGGGCGGGGTTCTTTTTGATTTCCTGAGAAAAACCCAGCCAAAATGCCCCGAGGTGAAGAGTCTCATCACCAAGCTCCAGGAGGAGTCGAGTGAGGAGATGGAGCATCGCCAGTGGTGTGAGAAGGAGAAATGCGCGTAGAATGTGTTTTCCCGAACAAAAATGATGGTTGCTAAACAAAATAATCCAAGCAAGTTTTTCCACGGGAGAAAAAACGGGAGGTTGGCAGGATGGGTCCAAGAACTTGACTGACCTGACCGAGTAAAATCGGGAGGGGGTAAGATGAAGTACAGGAATTCAACATTTCACGGCTCAGGCCACCAACGAGCCAGAATCGGCTTCTGATCTGAGTTCGTTGAAAACCACACCCTCGATGGGTCAGATGCCAAGCAGGGCGGAATGCCAGCTCCGTTTGGAAAGCTCGTGCTGCTTTTGCGCCCTTCTTTTTTTTCCGGCCATGGCGGCCATGGGCCAACGGCACCTTGCCAGGAGCTGGGCGAGAACAAGAGAGCTCGAGAGTCTCGGGGCTCCTCGGTGGAGAGCCTCCAAGCAGAGGTGGAGACCACTGAGAGCGAGGTGGCGAAGCTGGCGGTGGAGATTCAGGAGCTGGCCAGCCAGCTGGCAGAGAACAAGGACCGTGAGAGCCGAAAGAGCAGCCCAAAGCCAAACGACCGCATTTCCTCACCGTTTTGGGTTTTCCCATGGTCATCATGGTCCATTTTGGGCCTAGGTGCCCAAAGGAGATCACCTTTTTATTTCTGGGTACCTGAGGGGCAGCGTGAGAAAAGGACCGTCTTCTGGGGTGCGTTTGCCAAGGCCCTCTGGAAAAGGCTGTGAAGGATGGGGCACGGCAACAATGTCCCGGTTTAAACAGATTGACGCAAGGGGCTATGCGTTTTGTGCCAGGATGAAACTGGCAATGGCCACAATCAAAGCAGCGAGTGCAGGAGACTTTGGCAAACCAGACAGAGACTAGAAAGCTCGAGAAGGACGAGAACACAAAGACGGTGGATGATGCCAAGACAGCTCAAGATGCTGTGGCCCAGGCACTCACAGTGCTCAAGGAGTACTACTCTGGCGTGCAGCTGGTTCAAACTACGGCTGGATCATCGCTGAAGGGCAAGGCTCCAGAGATCTTCGAAGGCTGGCCCAAAGCAGTCACTGTGGTGTTGCTTGGCTTTGGTAGCAGCACCCCTCAAGACCGCTTCATCCTCTATAGGCTCTCCAGCTGTACCCTTGCCGGATGCTTTGAACATCCTGAGTTTCGAAGGGTCCCGAAGCAGAAGAGTGTCATAACGGCCCAGCACCTTCGCGTTTCTCACGCGCCCTCACCCCCTTCAGAGTCCTGCCGGCCCTCGGGGCCCTTTTTTACGCGCGCCAGGCAGCTACTCGGGCCAGGGCTCCGAGGCGGTGGTGGCCATGCTGGAGGTGGTGCAGGCGGACTACGCCAAGTTAGAGTCCACCACCGCGGCCCAGGAGGCCGCGGCGGCGAAGGACTTCACCCAGCTCACAGCCGACATGGCGCGGGGGGTTACCGACCAAACCGAACGCGGTCGCGGTCGGTCGTGGTTTTTCTTTTTTTGGGGTGAAGCCAAAACCAGCAACACGTGTTTGTGTGTGACCATTTTAAGGGGGGGGTCCTAAATCTGAGGCAAAACTGTCCAATTTATATGTCCTGTTTTGATCCTTGTTGCGGGTACATTCCGCATGCCGCAACGACGCAGTGCTAAAACAAGTCTTGCGAACAACCAATCCCGGAATACAATGGCTACTTTCCACATGTTGTTTGCAACAGAAAACTGGAAGCAAGAACATGCAATCCTCCCATGTTTTCCCATTGGACATCTCTTGAGTTCGATTGATTTCTCCTTCGGCTCGGGTCGGATGGATTTGATTTGAGGCCATCTTGGAGGTGCAGCAGAAGAAAGACTCGGAGCACAAAACGGCCCAGAAATCCGACAAGGAGCAGAGCGCCATGAGCAAGAAGGTGGACCTGCGCAGCGCGCAGAAGGAGCTGGAGGCGGCAGAATCTTGGCACGCGACCTTGGTGGGATATGGCTGTGGGGTCAAATACATGTACCGAAATGGCACCTTGGTTAAAGGAGCCAAAGACTAGAACCTCCGCAACCCGAGCTCTAAAAATTTGAGCCCATTGGCACGCGACCTTTTTGGGAGATCCTGACAGCTTGGAGGCCCAGGTCTCAAAGCACGCCAAAGGTTGATCGGATTAAGACACGAGCCGACCGAGGGCCAAACGCCTTGGCCTTCTTTGGCAGGATCCAATTTCGTCAGCTGCCCAAGTACGGCCATGGAAATGCGAGGAAGTCCTGTTTCCAGGGCTAGAGATACTGTTGCGTGTTTGTCGGTGCAACAGTCTAGTGCTCCTGCGGACACAGTCAACATGCTTCCTTGAAATAGTGGTTTCGGGGGCCACTGAACAAATTTGCCAAAATGTTCCGCAAAGCCTGGCGCATGTTTCCAGAATCTGGAGATCTCTTTTGTGCTTCCTTTCGGGAATCCAGGAGGGAGACTGGTCACTTGGCGTCCTGTTTGGCTTTGATTAGCCAGTTTGTTTGAACCGTGTCCGACACCTGCAAACGCACGGCGTTCTCGAGCCTCACGGCCGGAAGGCACCAGATAGTGCCTAAAAGAACATGGGATTTGTATCCCCTGCTTGCGACTAGATGAAGGGTGTACATCCACATGCATACATACATAGACACAGTCAGTTACACAATGTACATATACACATAGCAGATTCATAATATTTACATATCTACATATATATAATATATATATATATATATATAATATATATATATATTCACATACACAAGTGATGTGGTATTGCCTCAGTCGAGTTGGGTGGCTTCGCTTAAGGAGCAGTACTACGAGCAGCTCCAGGACTCCTGCTCCGCCACCGGGTCCACGGCCCAGGAGCGCGCCGCCCGGCGAGCGGAGGAGATCCAGAGCCTCAAGGACGGGATCGAAAAGATGTCGAAGCTTTGGCGCGTTTTGCTCGGCTGTTGGTTCAATGAACTTTAACTTTGGTGGTGGTGGTGGTGGCGGTGACGGTGGTGGCGGTGGTGGTGTGCAGGTTTTCTTTGGTGCATGTTGCTTGAATGTTAGGACTTTAACTTTTTGCCAACTAATGGGATTTCCATTGAACCACTAAAAGTTAAGCTTTTAGCACATACGGCTGTGGCTCAGAAAGAGGTACCAAAATGGCACCTTGGCAAATGGAAGCCTGAAACCTGCGGTTGGCCCAAGCTCTTTAATTTTGAGCCATACCCATATCGTGACACGGGGCCATGGATCAAAATCATAGGGGTATGGGGGAAGTTTGGTCGATGTTTGGTATGTCTTCTTTTCAGAGACCCTTGGGGTGGTTGTAAGGGGAAAAAGGAAACCAACCATTTTTTAAGGGCCCCCTTAAAAAAGACACACCCATATGTCCGATGGGGGTATGGGTCAAAATTCAACCAACAGGTTTTAGTCCTTGCCACTTAGATGCGGGCGTCCTGTTGTTTAACGTACCCATATGTCCGATGGGGGTATGGGTCAAAATTCAACCAACAGGTTTTAGTCCTTGCCACTTAGATACGGGCGTCCTGTTGTTTAACATTTGGGTGGTTTCCTTTTGGCTGCTTTCGGCTTCCGAAAAGGGTTCCGCCTTTGGGACCTTATGCCCTGTGTGTTCCTATAGAACATGACACGAGATTGGCAGGAGGCCATGGAACTTCTGGAGACCAGGTAGACTGGATTGACTGGATTGTGCCTGCGGGAGAAAAGGCGCGAAAAGGCCTTCAGAGATGGGAGATTCGACGCTGGGGGGGGGGGGTCTTTTGACTCCACCGGCTTTCTTCGAATTCGCACAGTGGCCCTAGTTTCATGGACGTTGACCTCGGGATCCTTGTCCAACGCCGGCCGTGTTCCCAACTCGCTGCTCAGGTCTCGAAGCAGGCCGAGAACTTGATCAGCAACTCGGGGAAGGCGGAATCCATGTTCCAACTCCTGGAGCAGGATGGGGCGCTTGTCCTCTTTGCCGCTTTCTTTCTCTCTTTCTTTCGGTCGATGTGCTTGTTTTCTTTCTCTTTTTTTGCGTGGTTTTGTCAACGTGTTTCTTCACGTGTTTTGTTGTGTGTGTGTGTGTTCATGTTTTGTGTGTTCATGTGTTTGCATGTTGGTGTTCTCAAGGCTCAGCCGAGCGCCGTAGGAGCCGGACGTGCTGCAGGAGGTCTTGCCGCAGTTGCCGAAGCCTTTGTACTGGGATCCGACCTCAGACCTCGCTAGGCACAGCCCGAGCCCTTGGTCCCGCTGAACCAACCGCAAGACATGGAGGGTAGCTCCTGGTTCGTATCTGACAAAAATGCAAAGCGACGTGCGACGTGTCTGACAAGAAGTAGCAACGTTACAAGCGACACGTGCAGCGTCTTGCGCGTCAGGGGCTCACGAGCCTGGACTTCAACAAGGCCCTGGCCCCAGCGCGTGAAATGCCGCTGCCCCTACTGCCCCTTTGGAGCTCCCTCTGAAAACCAGGCCATAGATCGGCCTTTTTGTCAGAGCATCTCACATGGTAGGTCGAGGCTCGGAAAATAAAAATGTGAAAACCCCAAGCTCTGAGGCCTGCTTGGACGGCTTCCAGGCGGGCCGAACTCGGGCGTTTGCCAAGTGATCCAACCTCCCACGCGGCTCAGGCCGCTGCTGGTCAGGACAGCGACCTTTCCACCACCGTGCCACCTGGCATGCTCATGTCTGTCGGCGCCTTAGAATCGGCCGACCATTCCACACCAACTCCCGTGATTTTCACATGTGGGGTTCGCTCACTCCAGCTCCACGCGAGGTCATCCACCAGCTGGCGCAGGCGGGGCCGGAGTTCGGCAAACGGAGCTGCAGCTGTGACTCAGTGACCCGCCAGGAGCATCCGTTCAATATCTCCGAGGAGCAGTGCAACTACTTCATCAGCCGATGGGACACTTGGCTGATGCAAATGCTAGTGGGAGAGCTCGCTGGCTGAGCGAGGGATGCGAGTTGGAAGTTAGCCAAGGACAAGGACCTGAAAAACTCGGTGACGCAAACGCCTCAACTCCGGCCGGACTCGACCCACAGCATCCACCTAAAGCGGTGGAGCTTGTAAATGCAACGTTTGCTACATTCCGCATAGCAATTTTTTGAAAGGAAGTCCCTGTGCAGTGGCAGCGCTAGGTCGGCCGAGTTCCTGCTGCTGGCGCGGTACGTCATCGTCATGGGCTATTTGCAACACCAAGCGCAGAACCAGGACGCCCAGTCGGCTTGGGCCGGGAACATGGTCCTGGTGCCTCAGGCTTGCCAAGGCCAAGGAGTTTAGACAAACGAGAATTCCTTGTGAGGAAAACTTGCTCTTTAGAAGGGTGCAAGCTGCCAGCAAGATGCCGCCGCTCTCTCAGTTTGGAAGTCGTGGTAAGCATGTGGCGACACTTCAAAGGCATGCTGAGTGGCCGAGGTGCGAACATGTTGGGAGTCACGAAATTCGAGGTTGCAGTTGGAGACCAATGTTACAAGAATTTAATCGCAGCTACACCTGTGAGACCTGGACCTACCTTGACTTACATAAAAATCCGGGGGTTCTGGAAGCACTCAAACATCTCAGCGAGCCTAATGACCCCGCTGGCAACCACGTTTGACTTGTGGCAATCCGGGAATGCGGAAGCGTGGCAGAGATGCCAAGTTCATAGCGACGTAAGGGGCATTCAGCCTGAACCCGAGTTGGCCATCTCCCGTTTTGGACGTGTTTCACGGGCCCTACGCGTTTCGCGCCGCGCGCGCGCCATGCGCGTGCCAGGAGGGCGTAGTGGCCGACGCCTTGGTGGGCAAGGAGAAGGTGGAGATGCTGCTGACGGAGCTCAAGAAAGGCTCCTCGCTGGTCTGGGACGTTCTCCCCTTCCTGCCGGAGGAAGGGATAAAAAGGAAGGGAAATAATGGACTTCTTTCGTATTGGTTGTGCTATACAAGGTGAGTTGGTATCATGTTTTTTTGTTATACAAGGTGAGGGTTTAGGCTTTAGGGTGCTATACAAGGGTGACTAGTCTATTGGTGGCAGGAATGTTTTTTTTGAAAAACATCGCTGGGGTGCTCAGCCAAGCATGCAGGACCTGGTGGCCGAGCTGTCCAGCGAGGACTTCGAGAAGATGTGTTTGGACTACTTCACAGATTTAGACAAGGAGAGCAGTTTGCAAGCCGCAAACTTGAGACGGCAAAAAGGTCTCGCAGGGTTCAGGTGGATCGAACAAAAAAATGATATGGTTTCTTCTTTTTCTGGGAAGCCGGAACTGCAAAAAGAAACGAAGGCAACAGCTGCCTCTTCAGGATGCCAGCGGCACCCTGGAGCCCGTGGAGATTCTGCCCGTGATCCAGGAGCTGGCACAGGCTGGATCTGTAGCGAGGCGACACATGCATGTCGGATATTTGGCTGTGGTTGTCAAAACCGTTTTGGGATCCCATTTTGGTTGGTAGGTGAATTCACCACCCATTTTAGAACCCATTTTAGTGGGGATTGGGATGTTCACTGGGGGTACGATTTGGATTTTGACCCATGGCCATTTGTTGTTTCCCTTTCTCGAACGTTTTGTGTTGCCAGGAGGGCTTATGTTATGAGCGGAAGGATACTTGATGGTTCGTTTGCTTCAATGAGCTTGCTGTGGGTTCTTGCAAAGGGCCTCGTACCGGCTCTCTCGTTGACTGAACCTGGGGTCGTCGAGCCTGCCCAATCAAGACGGAGCCTAGCCTTGACGAATGTTCGGATGCATTTGCTTCCGGTCCGTTCCCCACGTGTCCCCTTCCGGTACCAAGTCCAGCCGGGTCTTCCCCTTCTTCCACCAAAAAAATGAGGGGTTCTCCCATTCCCCCCCCCATCCCCCTACCAAGTCCAGCCGGGTCTTCCCCTTCTTCCACAAAAAAGCACGTGGGGGTGTCTTCCCCCCCCCCCATGGCTCGCCGGGCTCGAAGTCCTTCCTCGCAAGCCGCCGGGCTCGGAGGGACGGAACGAAAAACCCGCGAGGCCCGGTCCTTTGAGCTCACGGAGGAGCAGGAGCACTGCCGCCGCTTCGTGGAGATCTTCGACGTGGACAACAACGGGGCGGGGGATGGGGGCGGATTCTCTCGCGAGCGCGAACGGAGCGCTGTTGCTGGTTGGGTCGGAGCTGGGTGGATTTGGGGGGGGGAGCTGAAAATGAGCTGCTGGGGTTGCGCAGGGTTCAGTCTACCTGGCTATTTGCCAGGGTTCCATTTTGGAACCCCATTTTTGAGCCACAATCATTTGGAGGGGGGTGGTGGTGGTTTGTGCGTGTCCATGGAAAGGGGCTTTAGATGGGGAGGTGTTTTTTTCCTAAATGTCCGTACGTGGAAGAGGCGCTTTCGATGGGCGGGGAGGGGAACATATGCAGTCATGGGGCAGTTGATCCATTCCTGAAGCTTGGGATGTTTCTTTGACCCGCGGTTTTGGTGATGACTGGCATGAGAACACATGAGCCAGCTGTGGGGAGCGGGGCGGCATAGGAGACAACCCTGGCCTTGCATTTGGTCAGATGGCGCTGGCAGGTCATTGGCCAAGATGAGTTCGTCAACTTCGCCTGGAGCCCAAGTTTCGCATCGGCTCGCAGGGGAGCCTCCAATGGCTTTGTTGACACCAGACACGTTTCCCGGTCCAAGGTGCGGTATATGATGATCATGCCGCTCCCCCAGGCAGGACCAACTGCTTGCAGCCCAGCGGGCCGCGCGAGGTCCTTCATGCAGACGCCCGAAGGCCAGCTGGCGAAGCTCGAGGCCGAGGCCGGCGGGACGCCTGCCTTCGGAGGGATGGACTCGGGCGAGCCGAGGTGGACCAGAGCAGCACCCAGGTGGACGGCCTCCTGAAGCAGCTGGCACGTGACAGGGACTCCATGTTCAAGGCGCAGATCGCAGCCCATGCCGGGCAAACTGCCGCGTTGGCCCATGTACGTTGGACTTAATTTGGGGCGAGGTGGCCGGTGCGTGCCAGAACTCATTGCGAGTCGGGGGATCATGCGTGCGCGACGGCGCCCCATTCGCCAGATCATGGGGCTGCTGCCGGAGGCGGGGCATGTTGGTTTGGCATGTGGGCACAGCCAATAAATCCGCAATTGCTTCAGAGAACCAGGGGACCGCAGGCTCGTGTCCTTGTTTCCATTCACCAGGCTTCCATTTTGGGTACCTATTTTCCCACAGCCAAATGGAGCTACGTTGCCATCAGCAAGCAAGACGTTGCGAGCGTTGCACTTGCCGAGGAAGTCTATGCCGAGCTGGTGTCTCAAAGATTCGCACGGGCCTGAACGGCACGACCACATTGCACCCACGACCTGATTTGGTTGCCTCGCGTCCACATCTCTGTTTTTTGTGGGATCCTTTGTCTTTGGACACCTTCAGCAAACTTTGCCAACATCGAGGCACGTCAAATCAAAGTGCCAGCTCGATTCAGATCGCGTGAAGCTGGTCTTAGGTCAAAGAATATACCGACGAGTTCAAGAGGCTCGACAAGGCCAGCAGGTTGAAAGGCTCAACAATTTCTTTGGACTTGAACCCTTTGGGATTGAAACAGCCGATTTTCCAAGGGACCCACAATATCACAAGAAATGGCTATTTGCTTGGATCTTTGCAAGAAGTAAGAAGTTAAACACTTCTTGAGGGTCAACTGCAGCGACCAACGACCCGACGGCGCCGTGCGCGGCTTTGGTGTCGGGCGGTCGAAGCAGCGCAGGACGGCAGCGGCGCGCTGGAGCCTGCGGAGCCCGGCGCCCCAATCCACGGGATTGTCATTTGTGTTAATCTATAAATATTTATTCCCGAAAGCATCGCGAAGGGTTCTTCCGTGCGGAGCCCTTGGACAAGTTACATAGAGCCAAGTTACATAGAGCCAAGTTACATAGAGCCAAGTTACATAGAGCCAAGTTACATAGAGCCAAGTTACATAGAGCCAAGTTACATAGAGCCAAGTTACATAGAGCCAAGTTACATAGAGCCAAGTTACATAGAGCCAAGTTACATAGAGCCAAGTTACATAGAGCCAAGTTACATAGAGCCAAGTTACCAAGTTACATAGAGCCAAGTTACATAGAGCCAAGTTACATAGAGCCAAGTTACATAGAGCCAAGTTACATAGAGCCAAGTTACATAGAGCCAAGTTACATAGAGCCAAGTTACATAGAGCCAAGTTACATAGAGCCAAGTTACATAGAGCCAAGTTAGAGCCAAGTTACATAGAGCCAAGTTACATAGAGCCAAGTTACATAGAGCCAAGTTACATAGAGCCAAGTTACATAGAGCCAAGTTACATAGAGCCAAGTTACATAGAGCCAAGTTACATAGAGCCAAGTTACATAGAGCCAAGTTACATAGAGCCAAGTTACATAGAGCCAAGTTACATAGAGCCAAGTTACATAGAGCCAAGTTACATAGAGCCAAGTTACATAGAGCCAAGTTACATAGAGCCAAGTTACATAGAGCCAAGTTACATAGAGCCAAGTTACATAGAGCCAAGTTACATAGAGCCAAGTTACATAGAGCCAAGTTACATAGAGCCAAGTTACATAGAGCCAAGTTACATAGAGCCAAGTTACATAGAGCCAAGTTACATAGAGCCAAGTTACATAGAGCCAAGTTAGAGCCAAGTTACATAGAGCCAAGTTACATAGAGCCAAGTTACATAGAGCCAAGTTACATAGAGCCAAGTTACATAGAGCCAAGTTACATAGAGCCAAGTTACATAGAGCCAAGTTACATAGAGCCAAGTTACATAGAGCCAAGTTACATAGAGCCAAGTTACATAGAGCCAAGTTACATTACATAGAGCCAAGTTACATAGAGCCAAGTTACATAGAGCCAAGTTACATAGAGCCAAGTTACATAGAGCCAAGTTACATAGAGCCAAGTTACATAGACAAGTTACATAGAGCCAAGTTACATAGAGCCAAGTTACATAGAGCCAAGTTACAAGTTACATAGAGCCAAGTTACATAGAGCCAAGTTACATAGAGCCAAGTTACATAGAGCCAAGTTACATAGAGCCAAGTTACATAGAGCCAAGTTACATAGAGCCAAGTTACATAGAGCCAAGTTACATAGAGCCAAGTTACATAGAGCCAAGTTACATAGAGCCAAGTTACATAGAGCCAAGTTACATAGAGCCAAGTTACATAGAGCCAAGTTACATAGAGCCAAGTTACATAGAGCCAAGTTACATAGAGCCAAGTTACATAGAGCCAAGTTACATAGAGCCAAGTTACATAGAGCCAAGTTACATAGAGCCAAGTTACATAGAGCCAAGTTACATAGAGCCAAGTTACATAGAGCCAAGTTACATAGAGCCAAGTTACATAGAGCCAAGTTACATAGAGCCAAGTTACATAGAGCCAAGTTACATAGAGCCAAGTTACATAGAGCCAAGTTACATAGAGCCAAGTTACATAGAGCCAAGTTACATAGAGCCAAGTTACATAGAGCCAAGTTACATAGAGCCAAGTTACATAGAGCCAAGTTACATAGAGCCAAGTTACATAGAGCCAAGTTACATAGAGCCAAGTTACATAGAGCCAAGTTACATAGAGCCAAGTTACATAGAGCCAAGTTACATAGAGCCAAGTTACATAGAGCCAAGTTACATAGAGCCAAGTTACATAGAGCCAAGTTACATAGAGCCAAGTTACATAGAGCCAAGTTACATAGAGCCAAGTTACATAGAGCCAAGTTACATAGAGCCAAGTTACATAGAGCCAAGTTACATAGAGCCAAGTTACATAGAGCCAAGTTACATAGAGCCAAGTTACATAGAGCCAAGTTACATAGAGCCAAGTTACATAGAGCCAAGTTACATAGAGCCAAGTTACATAGAGCCAAGTTACATAGAGCCAAGTTACATAGAGCCAAGTTACATAGAGCCAAGTTACATAGAGCCAAGTTACATAGAGCCAAGTTACATAGCCAAGTTACATAGAGCCAAGTTACATAGAGCCAAGTTACATAGAGCCAAGTTACATAGAGCCAAGTTACATAGAGCCAAGTTACATAGAGCCAAGTTACATTACATAGAGCCAAGTTACATAGAGCCAAGTTACATAGAGCCAAGTTACATAGAGCCAAGTTACATAGAGCCAAGTTACATAGAGCCAAGTTACATAGAGCCAAGTTACATAGAGCCAAGTTACATAGAGCCAAGTTACATAGAGCCAAGTTACATAGAGCCAAGTTACATAGAGCCAAGTTACATAGAGCCAAGTTACATAGAGCCAAGGATAGGTAGGTAAGCTTAGAGCTTCGGCGTTAGCAGCTATGTAACTTAGTTTAGGTTTCTTAGGCGCCGGGGCGGGAGTTTGATCGTCGCTCGGGATTGCGACCCTCTGCGGAGATTCGCGTGGTCGAGGTTCAAAAACTGGGGACTTTTTACAATTTTTAGCATGCTCGCGCGACCCTCTGCGGAGATTCGCGTGGTCGAGGTTCAAAAACTGCGGACTTTTTACGATTTCTGCGGCGCGCGCGCCACCCTCTGCGGAGATTCGCGTGGTCGAGGTTCAAAAACTGCGGACTTTTTACGATTTCTGCTGGCCGCGCGCGACCCTCTGCGGAGATTCGCGTGGTCGAGGTTCAAAAACTGAGGACGTTTTACGTTTTTTAGCATGCGCGCGCGACCCTCTGCGGAGATTCGCGTGGTCGAGGTTCAAAAACTGAGGACTTTTTACGATTTCTGCGGTGCGCGCGCGACCCTCTGCGGACATCGTGCGCGTCGAAGCGCTCTCGCTGTGGCGCCGTGCGAATTTGTCTTAGTCTCGGCGAACCCTCTGCGGAGATCGCTCTCGCTGTGGCGCCGTGCAATATTCTTGCTCGCGAAACGGCCTTTGGAAGTTGTCTCGTGGTTTGCGCGCCTGCTTTCGCAATCCCGCGGTCGCGGCGGGTTCGATTCCCCCCTGGTCCGCGGCAGCTCCGGCTTGAAAATCGCAGCTTTTAAGTACAAACGTAGTATGCGGAGCGTGCTGGAAAATCGCAACTTTTAAGTACAAACGTAGTACGCGTAGCACACCCCCGCAGCTCCGGCTTGAAAATAGCAACTTTTAAGTACAAACGTAGTACGCGGAGCGTGCTCCTCCGGAGTTTTGGGTGGAAAATCGCAATTTTTAAGTACAGACGTAGTATGCAGAGCGTGCTCCCGCAGCTCAGGGCTGGAAAATCGCAACTTTCAAGTACAAACGTAGCACGCGGAGCACACCCCCGCAGCTCCGGCTAGAAAATCGCAACTTTTAAGTACAAACGTAGTACGCGGAGCACACCCCCGCAGCTCCGGCAGCACTTGCACGGAGCAACTTGCGTTGCGCAGAGCAACTTGCGCAGAGCAAGTTGCACAGAGCAATTGTACAAAGCACTTGCGCAGAGCAACTTGCACAGACCAACTTGCACAGAGCACATGCGCAAAGCGCTTGCACGGAGCAACTGGCGCAGAGCCCTTGCGCAGAGCAACTTGCACAGAGCAGGCGCAGAGCAACTTGCACAGACCAACTTGCGCAGAGCACATGTGCAAAGCGCTTGCGCGGAGCAACTGGCGCAGAGCACTTGCGCAGAGCAACTTGCTCAGAGCACTTGCGCAGAGCAACTTGCACAGAGCACTTGTGCGCAGCAGCTTGCGCAGACCACTTTCGTGAGAAATCGCGCGGCGCAGTTCGAGAGGAAAGTAGGATGATGAGATGGAGCTCTCATGTGGCCATACACGCTGAGCATCGCCGCGCGCAGACACGCTCGCCGCAGCGATGTAAAAAGGTGTCTCCGCGGCTGGATGAGCACCCGTGGAAAAATGCTTTCGGGCCAATCGTCCTCTAGTATCTATATATATATGTATATTATATGTATATGTATATATTGTTTGGTTTTTAGTGTGGCAAAAGACACAAACTTATTTGTTTAAAAGATGGGCTTGGAGCAAAAGAAGGCTTGGATCTGGCGAGAAAAAAGCTGAACTCCAAGCCATAGGGCAAGAAACCCTGGCTTGGCATGGTAGCAATGCCTGTCAAACGCGTGTCCGAAATGGCGATTCCCTTTCTCTGACCTGTTGCGTGTGAGCTTCAACCATGAAGCTCGGCAAGTCAAGCAGCCAGCGGGTTGGGGTTTTCTGGGCGCTTTGCCCAACTGTTTGGAGCATACAGCGCGGTTTCAACCCTCGCGACGCCGCTTGGAGCAGAGTCAGCCGTATGCCAAGCCTCACGGCTAGGCTCTTCGAGATCATCGTCCAGCTGTCGAATGCCAAGCCCTTTGCCGTGACCCTGGAGCAGCGTGGGCACTCAGAGAAAGCCGGCCGCCAACCGCAAGCCCAAGATTGGAGCAGTTGGGCCAACAGTTGGGCCTAGAGTGAGTCCAAACCCTTCCTGCGGCAGCATGAGCTGCCAGGTGCCAGGAATTCACCAGCATCTTCGACCTCCGCGGCGACGGGGTGCTGCGGCAGGACGAGTTCTTGGACTTCGCAAGGATGGGGCACCGGCAGATCGACGCGGGTGGTTTCTTTACAGATTATGTTTTGTTGTTTTGTCTCTGTGTTTGGTTCGGACAACTTGGCCTCATGCACTGTATGCTGCGCGAGTCGACTCAGCTTGGACAGGTTCCTGTGCATCATGAGCTTCTTGCACAGTGCAGATGGGCAGGCAGGGCAAAGAAAGGTCCAACAGGTCTCTGTCACTGACATGCCAATACGCCAAGAGGGACTCCTTGCTCCGAAAGCAGGTACAAGAGACTCGCTTTTTTGCCACTAAAGTCGTGTTCAATTCTTTGCGTCACGCGATGGCTCCCTCAAAGGGCCCCAAACCTTCCAATGGGGGGAGGGGAGGGACCTATTAATGCCTTATTTGTGGTCCCCCCATCTCCCTCCTTTCTCTCTGGGCTCTGGGTGCAATGCTTAGGCCGCAGCGGGGGAGGCCATGAAGGTGCTGCAGGACTCCCGCCGCATCGAGGACCCGGCCGGACGCGCGTGGCCGGGAGGCCTCCCCATCGGCGGTGTTTCTAGGACCTCCTGGACTCACTGGAGCGAGATCGAGCAGCAGTGCAGCAGGCGAGCGGACTGACCCGGAATGACCCGTCCGGAACCAAAGAGAAGTGGGTTGTTGTGGAAACGGTGCGCTTCCCGTTGTGTTTGGATTCCTCGGGCCTGTGAAATCTGAAGCCGCAAGCTTGGCTCAAGCTCGGAGCCCTGGCCGCTGACTGCCCGGCTGGAGCCGTGCCGGACACGCAGGTCGGACAGGTTTGCCTCGAATTGCCCTTGAGGGTTGGAAACAGGTGGTTACATAGGGAGCCATGTGCCCATGTGCCCTCGAGTTTTGTTACCAATGGCAGAGCAAATCGGTTTCAGCGCTTGCACTTAGGTCCAGCGCCATGTCGCGCCCGCAGTCGCGCGGCATGGGCCCCGTGTCCGGGCGCCTCGCTCGGAAATGCGGTCGGCTTTCCCCCGTTGGGTTCCGGCGTGCGCGGAAGCCTTCCGCGTGTGGCAAGCGCCCAGGGCCGGCCCTGGCATGACCCAGTCTGGCTTGGGCCAGGTTCAGGCCAGCGAGTCGCAACTGCCAGCGAGTGACGAGAAAGTAGGCGGCTTTCCCGTTCACCGGCAGGCAACCATGCGCCCGGGCACGCAAATGCCGGGAAGCCAAGTTTTTGGCAGTCCAGCACATCCAACGTCGCTCATAGCTCTCGTCGGTCGGATCGCATGCCAGGGGTCAGGCCATGGGCCAGACGGGCCGCGTGCAGCGCTCAGCGCGGAAGTGTCATGTCGTTTGTTCATTGGCACCCTGTTTTTATTGGGGTTGTTGTACATGGAAACCAGTTGAAACCCAGTTGAAACCACCCATTTCGGGGGGGGCCACCCCGAATGTCAGACAGGCCCATGGTATCTTCTCGTGCTTGAGGTGCCCACAGCGCAGGGCGGCCGCCATGGCCTCAGTCGGACAGTTGGATTTGGTATCCCCCTTTCTTGGTGGGAAACACAAAGGAGAAAAGCAGTAATCTTGGCATTTTGGGGGGGTGGCCTGGTGCCTGGTGTCTCTCCAGCGCCTTTCGTGTTGGGTTTTGCTTCGATTCGAGGCATGACTGGGGCCTCCCGCACGCGGCAGGGCACGGCGCAGCCGATGGGTCAGCCGCTCAGCTCTGACTCCGATCGCCGGGCGAATTTTGGGTCGACCGAGGCGTGGGCGCCATGACGGAGGTGAAGGTCTCCGATCGGCCCATGACCATGCAGGGTGCGCGGAGGGGCGGGTTGGGTGCGGCTCTCCAGCCAAAGTTCGGGCAAAAACAAAAGGAAACCATGGCCATTGGTGGATGTGTGTGAGGGGGGGGCTGATTTCGGACACCTGGTCGGAACACTAAGCAGCTTGTGAAATGCTCTACCTGTTCGAAGGAAGTAAACTGCTCACAGCGCACTGCCATTCCAAACCGCGCCGTGCCGTCCCAGCACATTTCGACAAACATCTCAGTCCAGAGTTGCAGAGAGTTGAGAGGACAGCCGCATCAATCCAACATCAATCGATTCTCGATCACATTGCGAGTCATTAGATTTTCCCGGCGCCATGCCGTGTGTGAGGCGCGTGTGGAAAGCAAAAGGTAATCAGTTCTCAGCAAAGCCCCAGTTTTCAAGATGAGAAAGCCCAATGGGACAACTAGCGTATCCCCAAATGGACATTTTGCCGTTTGTTTCGGACGTGTATCCCAGGCAAGACTGCCCTGAGAAGTGTGCCTTAGACGCGGGGGACGCCGCCCTGGTCTCCGGCACCTGCAAGGTGTGCCAGCACTCCATTTGCTTCCACTGCCAGGACCCGAGAAAACCCGGTTCAAAGCCAAACCGCAGGTTTTAGTCCTTTCCATTTGCCAGGGCATTTGGGGTACCATTGACCCACACCCAGATTGGTCTTGAGGCCTCACTCGCAGGATTGCCAAGAGCTTGGCCTCTCCAACTCCAACTGCGACCGCCCTTGCTGCCGCTTCGAAGTCACCGTTTTGGGCGTGGACAACCTTTGCTGAAACTCGGAGCCCCGGCTTTTTAATCAGGGCCCAAGGAAGCATTGGATCCGAAGCATCTCAGTTTCATCTCAGTTGGGTATGGGTCAAAATGAACCCACCCAAAAAAAAACGCCAGGTTTTTGGTCCATGTTTGTACTTCCGAGGGCAAGCCATTTTGGGGTTCCCCTATTTTTGTCCGACCCACCAGTATCCCAGGAGGTGAAGCTGGTGGAGAAAGCCGCTGAAAGCCTTGGGATCTCCAAGCAAGCTGTGAAAACCAATGCCGGGACCAAAACCGCCGTGGTGACCCACCTCTCGAAGGTGAAACCCGACAGATCCTTGGCAACTCGTGAAATCTCAGGGCAAATGGCTGTGGGTCAAAACTCAAAACCAATGGGATCCCATTTTGGGGGTAGGTGAATTCACCACCCATTTTAGAACCTATTTTAGTGAGGATTGGGATGTTCACTGGGGTCACGGGGTGTTGACCCATGGCCAAATCTGGATCCAATCCAGATGTCCACTGCAGGTCTAGTGACCGCCATGAACCAGCTAATGCTGGGCGCTCGCTTCTCACATGCACTCAGGCTCTTTTTCCTGCAAGAAGTATCACACGGATTTTTGTGGTCGGGCACGGTCGCATTCCGATGCCTTTTCGCATCTGCCAGGAATTCTGCAGTCTGGCGGTGTTTCTCATGAGCAAGAAGCGAGCGGTTTACAAGCCATGTGGAAGGATCTTCTGAATGCCAACAGAAGCTGTGTCGGCAATGGTCAGCTTGCGTTTGAGGTTGCGCTTGTGCTTGCGATGTGTTTCAAGCCTTCGAGTCAGAGCCACACGCCCCAAGGCCGCCTGTGCCGACTCTGTTTGCTGCTGCAAGGCATCTGGTGCCAGGGAGTCATCCCAAGTCAAGTCGAAACGACTTAGCTGACACAGGAGCAAATTTATACCTTTGCAATAGCCAGGTGCCACCTTTGTGCTGGCTCTCTTGAGTAACTCAGAGCTCTCAGAGCTCTTCAGCTTAGCCCGGAACCCAGGCTGTCAAGCTGTTTTCTTCGTCTCGCACGAACCGAATGGTCGAGGTCACGGTGCTCTTGGCCCACACCTTGCTGCGGCGGGCCGCCTTGTCCATCATGGGCAAACGCCTCTCCATGCACGTCTTGATGCTGGTGGTGCTTTTGGGCGCCATGCACCCTGGAGCCCAACAATGAAAGACGCTGGCTTTCATTTCTTCAGAGCTCGCAAAGTTGAGTTTTGAGTTCCACACCTTTTGGGGTATTTCAAACCCAACATCTGTGTGAAAGCCGAGAATTTGGGCAAAGTCTTTCACCCGTTTTCTCCTTGACCTTCCCCCGCCAGGTATTTGGGGCAGTTCACGGAGGCCGCCACGGTGGCCTTCCTGGTGAATGCCGCCGAATGGATCGTGGGCAAGTCGCAGGTGGCAGCGCCTCGGGCGCCAGGGAGACCGAACCCAAGGGGTGTCGAACCCCGTGTTTGATACGGGTAGCAAAAAATGGGCGTGGCTCAAAATTAAAGAGCTAGGGTTACGCAGGTCTTAGTCTTTGGTTCCATTTACCAGGGTGCCATTTTGGGCCACAGCCACAGCCAAATAAGCTTTTGTGCTCGCACCCCGCCCTCGAACCTCGTGAAAGCCTTATGGAACCAAAGCAGGTCGAGGAAGAGCTGGAGAAAAGCCTGGTGGGCACGGCCACACATGCAACGCTGCTGGGGCAGAATCGACAGGGTGCCTCGACAGATATTGGCCGTTGTTGGGCTTGATTTCCTTGATGCGTTTGAGGTGTCCTTGACTTGGTCGCAGCTCAGATGGCAACCGAAGTTCGGTAAGCTGCGTCTTTGCTGCAGGCGTGTCCGTGAAGATCGAGGACTTGAAGCCCAAGGATGTGGCGCCCCTGTTGCCAGTTTTACGGATCGGCACAACTCTGTGCGATGCATGTAAAGATTTGAGAACTAGTGTACGTATGTGTATACATATGTGTATATATATATATATATATATGTGTGTGTCTTAGTTTTACATTTGCAGTTAGATGTAGAATTGTGTGTCTGCGTGTACATTACTCGGTATGTATGTGTGCGGACATGACAAAGCATGTCCATGCATATGCGCATCTATAATTATTCTAGGGCTGCGCCCGACACCAGCGGCGTTGGCTGCCCGGTAGAGAAAGGACCACCGCTTGGCTAATAATTGGGTGAGACGTGGGTGGATGAAACCTCATGTCTTAATCAAGGGCTTGAGCCACCAATCTTTGCACGCACAAAGTATTTGCTGGCTGTACCTGCCCGGCGCCGCATGCGCGTGCGAGCGTGGCCTTACAGCGTTGAACTCCAAGAGGACTCACGTTCTCGGGATCCCAACGCTGCGCGGCCCAACGTGGCGCAACGCGACGGCGCTGGCTTGCCAAACGTGCACTTACTCGTGTGGACAGACGGCTCAGATCACTTGAGTCATTTAGCTAGCCGGTTGTTTGCCGAGACTCCCGCGGAGCCAAGACTGCAGGACGCACTGCGGCGACAACAGCGCAGTCATGAATCAGAAAACAAGCGCTGTGCAAGTTTGGCGATTGCGCGTGCAACACAGACAAGCCAACAAGAATGCATGTGCGCGGCCCCATTTCAAAACGTTGTGCCTGACACGCTAAGACGTGCAGGTTGTCCACAACGCTGCAAACGTCACGCAACACACGGCACCATACATTCGGTATTCCACAAAGCTAGTTCTGCCTTGAACCCGACAATGCTTGTGCAAGTCACGAGCGGTGAAGGCCCATGCTGCGACACTTGTTGCCGTCTGCTGCGCAGATGCTCGTGAGAACGCACCCCAGCATCACCCGAGAGGCCCAATGTGATGTTTGACATCTACACAAGACAATGATGACGACGACGATGATGATGTGAATGGTGACAATCGCCACGATGATGGTGATGAGATGCTTGCCCGAGCTTGCCTGAGCTTGCTCGTGCCTGTTTAGCGTGATTATGTTTGGCCTTGGTTATGCTTGGCCCAACGCTTGCCCATGCATGCTTAAGCGTAATTATGCATGGCCGACGCCTGCCCGAGCTTGCAAATGCTTGTTTAAACGTGATTGCGCTTGGCCTATACTTGCTGATGCTTGCCCGAGCTTGCCCATCTTGTTAAATTGGTGATGTTGATCAGAATGATTGCTCATCCCCAGCATCGCCAGCGGGATGATGATGATGATGATGATGATGATGATGATGATGATGATGATGATGATGATGGTGATGGTGATGATGATGATGATGATGATGATGATGATGATGATGATGGCGACGATTACGCAGCCCCGGCATTCCTGTGCGGCCTGCTGGCGACGAGCAACTTACGATTTATTGCCACCCTTGCCGCACACCTCTCGTTTTGTCAAGAAGGGGTCGGCGGATGTGCCAAAAATATGTGTACATAATATGTGTCAGGCTTGCACACATATGCGAAGATATGTATAGAGGCCATGATGCAAACACGCCTGGACCCTCAGGATGTGTAAAAATTACGCCGTCTGCGAAAAAGAACTGAGTTTCCACCATTCCGTTCCAAAAGCGTGGTTTGGCCCAAAAACTTCCCTTTGAAAGATCGAGGGGAACAGCGTCAGACAATAACGCTTTTGGCCGGGGAAATGCAAAGCTCGGCTGGGGAGAAGTGCTTCTCCAGCACGCGTCCAATCAAGAAAAACATGCAACACTGGGCAAAAGCGTTTTTTGTTGGAGAAAAACAAGCAAAAATGGCACATATCTATCCCATGTGTTTCTACTTGCCAGGTGCTGCTGAAGGCCGGCAGCACCGTGCCCTGCGACGGCCGGGTGCTCCGCTGCGAGGCCTGCCAAGTGAACGAGGCTGCCGTCACGGGGGAGGCCCTGCCGGTGGAGAAGCAGCTGAAGTCGCAGCTCTTCTCAGGCCGGATCCAGCGAGCCGTGCGGCCGTGCGGCAGCAACCTGTCATTCACCTTGGGCGGTTTGCCTTTGGCGTTTTTTAAACCAGCCCGAACAAGGGTAGCCTCAGAAAAAGGCATGCCCATACGCAACTTGTCACAGCGACCAATCACAGCTGCATGTGATTTGGAGAAGACCATACTCATTTTTTCCAACTGTGAGAGGGCAAAGGTTTCGAAGCATAGGGCCGCCGGGGCTTTGCTGAACATTCACAGCAGTTGAGTATGAAACGAAAGCGGGTTGGAGTGAGTTCTGCAAAACCTTGGTTCCACGCCTTGGTGCGTTTTCACCACTTACTCTTTCCGCATCTGGGTTGGGTGCATTGCGGGGGTGGCATGCGGCACCGACCACACATGGCAAAAAAACCGCTGGCCATTGAGGGTGTGTGTGTGTGTGAGCTGCATGTGAGCTGCATGGCGCGCCCTGGATTCCCCAGCGACCTTCGCGCGAGTCCAAATCCGATCAGATTTGGTATGCGTTCGTCACAGAGCCACGGGGCTGAGACTGGGAAAGCTTCGCGGAATTTTGCCGCCATCTCCCTTGGCTCGTTGTTACACTTACAGTTCTGCTCGATGGCCTCATTAAGCCTACTTTTCAAAAAACAATAATTTTCCAAAGAACCCCACGAATTTGGCTTCCCCCCCGTTTTCCCCACATGCCCCCGCCTGGTTTCAAGCTTCCCCCGTCTCCCCCGTCTCCCCCCCTTTGGAGGCACGGTGGTGGTGTCGGGCGTGGCGGAGATGGAGGTCACCGCCAGCGCGGCGGAGTCCTTCCAGGGCCGCATCAAGGCCGCGGTGGCGGACGCCCGCGGCTCCCGCTCGGAGATGGAGGAGCTGGTGAACCGCTTCGCCGAAGTCTACACCCCCGCCACTTGGCATGTGTTTTTTGTTTTTGTTTTTTTTTTTTTTTTTAATACGGTGTCCCAAAAGGAAGGGGTATGATTACATATATATACTTTAGAGCCTCCGGCTCAGTCCGCCGACATTGTCCTCTCCCTTTTCTCCTTTTTCCTCTCTTCCTTGTCTCCCTTCTGTTGTCCTCTCTCCCTCCCTCTGCTCCCATCCTCTCCATCCCCCCAAGCCTCTCTCTCCCCAATCTCCCTCTCTCGTATGTATGCATGCATGTACATGTATGTATGTATGTATGTATGTATGTATGTATGTATGTATGTATGTATGTATGTATGTATGTATGTATGTATGTATGTATGTATGTATGTATGTATGTGTATGTATGTATGTATGTATGTATGTATGTATGTATGTATGTATGTATGTATGTATGTATGTATGTATGTATGTATGTATGTATGTATGTATGTATGTATGTATGTATGTATGTATGTATGTATGTATGTATGTATGTATGTATGTATGTATGTATGTATGTATGTATGTATGTATGTATGTATGTATGTATGTATGTATGTATGTATGTATGTATGTATGTATGTATGTATGTATGTATGTATGTATGTATGTATGTATGTATGTATGTATGTATGTATGTATGTATGTATGTATGTATGTATGTATGTATGTATGTATGTATGTATGTATGTATGTATGTATGTATGTATGTATGTATGTATGTATGTATGTATGTAATGTATGTATGTATGTATGTATGTATGTATGTATGTATGTATGTATGTATGTATGTATGTATGTATGTATGTATGTATGTGTATGTATGTATGTATGTATGTATGTATGTATGTATGTAATGTATGTATGTATGTATGTATGTATGTATGTATGTATGTATGTATGTATGTATGTATGTATGTATGTATGTATGTATGTATGTATGTATGTATGTATGTATGTATGTATGTATGTATATGTATGTATGTATGTATGTATGTATGTATGTATGTATGTATGTATGTATGTATGTATGTATGTATGTATGTATGTATGTATGTATGTATGTATGTATGTATGTATGTATGTATGTATGTATGTATGTATGTATGTATGTATGTATGTATGTATGTATGTATGTATGTATGTATGTATGTATGTATGTATGTAATGTATGTAATGTAATGTAATGTAATGTAATGTAATGTAATGTAATGTAATGTAATGTAATGTAATGTATGTATGTAATGTATGTATGTATGTATGTATGTATGTATGTATGTATGTATGTATGTATGTATGTATGTATGTATGTATGTATGTATGTATGTATGTATGTATGTATGTATGTATGTATGTATGTATGTATGTATGTATGTATGTATGTATGTATGTATGTATGTATGTATGTATGTATGTATGTATGTATGTATGTATGTATGTATGTATGTATGTATGTATGTATGTATGTATGTATGTATGTATGTATGTATGTATGTATGTATGTATGTATGTATGTATGTATGTATGTATGTATGTATGTATGTATGTATGTATGTATGTATGTATGTATGTATGTATGTATGTATGTATGTATGTATGTATGTATGTATGTATGTATGTATGTATGTATGTATGTATGTATGTATGTATGTATGTATGTATGTATGTATGTATGTATGTATGTATGTATGTATGTATGTATGTATGTATGTATGTATGTATGTATGTGTATGTATGTATGTATGTATGTATGTAATGTATGTATGTATGTATGTATGTATGTATGTATGTATGTATGTATGTATGTATGTATGTATGTATGTATGTATGTATGTATGTATGTATGTATGTATGTATGTATGTATGTATGTATGTATGTATGTATGTATGTATGTATGTATGTGTATGTATGTATGTGCATGCATATGTATGTATGTATGTATGTATGTATGTATGTATGTATGTATGTATGTATGTATGTATGTATGTATGTATGTATGTATGTAATGTATGTATGTATGTATGTATGTATGTATGTATGTATGTATGTATGTATGTATCCTTGCACTTCCCCTTTGCTCCCCAGTATTTCCCGCAAAAAAACACGGTTTTTCCAGCGTTTTCGCAAAGAGGACGTCCAAAAACATTGAGTTTTTCCAGATTTTCGGCAAAAGGATGCAGGAAGCCCAAGCCAGCAAAAAAGCCGGCAGGGGGAATCGAGCCTGGGACCCCTGTTTTGCGACACCGGCTCCCCGAAGACTACGTTTAGTGGAACGTCATCAAATTGCCGCGCGGTACGTAGGGGACCCCCCCCCAAAAAAAAAAAATACATAAAATGGCACTTCTAACATCAAATCAAACAGCATACAACAAAATCAGCAAAATTCACAGAAAACAAGATAAGAACCACCAAGCAACTCAAAAACCAGAACAACCCCCAACAAAATATTTAATCAAAGCATACAACATTAAGTAATTCAAACAAGCATACCAACAAAACAGCAAAAATAAAAACCATCAAAGAACACAAACTCAAACACACACATCAACAAAACACAAAGCAACATACCAACAAAAAATATCAGAAGAGTATCAAACAAAATAAAATACAAACAGCCAAAGCACGAAAAAATCAAAAGAGCATGCCAAGTTCAAACAACGCACTTTGAAAGAGTCAGCCAAATCAAGAAAAAATGAAATATTTCAATCTTTACAAACCATAAGTACAGTATAATTATAACATATAAGATTTTACATGTTATTATTATAGTATGATTATAATTTCAGTACAGGATAATAATTTAATTGACAAATCTTTCTTCTTTCATACATCATTTTAAAAATAATATTAATATATCTCACTGTATTTTGAACATTAAACTTTTTAATCGCCATGGGTAAGAAGCAAGGCGGTGCATCCAACAACATGGAGCCGTGAAAGCCTCACCTTTTCCAATGCCTGATGCTGTGCTTGCTTGTGCTCACGGTCTCAGTTGAAACAGCACCAGAATTAGCATGCTCCCATGCGCATATGAGCATACCACCATGCGCATATGAGCATACCACCATGAGCATATGAGCATACCACCATGAGCATATGAGCATACCACCATGAGCATATGAGCATACCACCATGAGCATATGAGCATACCACCATGAGCATATGAGCATACCACAAAGAGCAAGCGAGCATTTTGAACGTGGGTTTTTGGGTTTCCCTTCAAATACTCATTAAAATATCACTAATGAGGTTTTGGGGTATTCGGTAAAGGTCTTCCTGTTTGTGTTTGATGTAGTTGTCCCCCCACTGTTCCTTGGTTCCACTGGGTAGTCTTTGAGCTGTTTCAATATGTTTCCCATTCCTAACATTCCCACAATCCTTTTTACATAAATCTTTAGGTTTCCAAGTTGTAATGTTATTCCATAGCCTAGTGCGTTTTCTGTAAGGCATTCCATATTTACAATAATCTACATCTTTAAAATCAAACTCATCCATAAACTCCTGATTTTTTAATACTCCAGTTTGAGGATTTTCGATTACAAAATATTTAGGATTAAAATATTTAATAATTTCAATAGTTTTTAAAACTATACTATTAGCATATTCAATGTTTCTTATTCCCCTAGTTTTTGCTACACTATATTCAGTGCATGGGGGACTACTCCAAATAAAATCAAAATGGTTCCTATCAAATTGTTTATAATCCCATTTCAAAATATCAGTATTTATATCAGCATTTTTCAAATCCAATGAAATAACATTGAAACCGAGCGACTTTGCAACAAGTCCAACACTGCCTGTTCCGCTAAACATCTCTAATAAGTTCATTATTAAAGATATTTAGATAATATTATCTATGAATAAAAATCCCTGTTTCCTCGTTAAAAACTAAACTATGTTTAGTTTTCAATGAGTAAATACAACTTTATGAATAAAGTTGCGTTTCCTCGTCATAGTCAATTAATATTTCTTTTATTTTTTATTCCCCATTGGTTCTATCTACTTCTTTACTTTGATAACTGTTTGTTACTGGTTTCTTCTTTTCCATTTCTTGCAAGATTTCTAAAATATTCTTATTCTGTTCTAAAACCTTATTCAGTTTTTTAACAATCTTTTCTAATCCTTCATCCATGCAAATATATACTAAATTAGAAAACTAAACTTTTAAAACTAAATGTTTTAATTTCGAAGGTCTTTGTTACTTATATGTTTAAATTCTTTGCCTTGCACCATAAGTCTAACAATGTTATCTAAATCTTTTTGAGTATGTCTACATACTATCGCTTTGTCTAGATATAAATATTCATAGCTAAGACCAACACTAATTAATAAAAAGTTATATTTTCTAGTTTGAGTACGAGTTAAGACTATTTTACAACCACACTCACAAGTATAATAACTAACACCATTATAATTATTGTCTCCAATTTGTTTATCTAATTCAATTGCTCCATTATGTAAATTTGTTAAACTTGAAAATTTGTCCATATACTAAATCATAAAATAAACTTTTAAAACTAAATGTTGCAATTATGTTAAATCTACTCTTTAAATGCTAATTTTTCATCATTTGTTTAATAGTTTCCTGAGTTTCCTTATCACCATTATCGGATGGAGTAGCGTTCCGACCCCATTTAAATGTAATATTATGAACATCTGTTTCCAAGTTTATACTGTCTTTAGTTTTATCAATATTCATTTTCTTATCATGTCTACTTATTTTGAAACTTGTTGGAATACATGAACATTTACAATTTTTATTATTTTGTATTTCTAATTCGTTTTTTAATTCTAACATCTTTTTACACATTGGACAAGCAAACTCAATAACTGATGTTTCTTTAACAATCTCTTCTTTTTCTTCATCAGTTGAAGAAACTGTAGTATCTGTTTTATTCTGTCGGTTTTTCTTTTTTCCCATTTATATTAATATTTATATTTTTAATATATTGTATCACAAACTTAATTAATTCTAAAACAAAATAGCATACTTTCT